TTGGACCCAACTCTACCTTATCCTTACATGTATCGAGCCGCTTCCTTAATGAGGAGACAAGATGTCCAAGGTGCGCTTGCGGAGATCAATCGGATTCTTGGCTTCAAACTTGCATTAGAGTGCTTGGAACTCCGTTTTTGCTTTTACTTGGTCCTTGAGGATTACCAATCAGCAATTTGTGATGTTCAGGCAATTCTCACGCTCTCTCCAGAATATAGGATGTTTGAGGGACGGGTTGCGGCATCCCAACTCCGCACACTTGTGAGAGAGCACGTTGAGAGTTGGACAACAGCTGATTGTTGGATGCAATTGTATGAGCGGTGGTCTTCAGTTGATGATATTGGTTCACTCTCTGTTATTTACCAGATGCTCGTTGAATCTGATGCGCCAAAAGGTGTTCTGTACTTTAGACAGTCGCTGCTCCTCCTCAGGTAGGCTGCTGCATCATATCTATCGAGCACTTTATCATACCTATATAAAGCTTTTTTGTGAGCATAAGTGGTACGGTTGATTACTTATGCATTTCAGTGTGAAAATTGCAAATGCATAGATTTACTAAGATGTAAATTTCTGGAACATCCAATTATTTCTGAGTTCATTATCTTATTCTTGAAATGCGGATATTAATTTTCCTGTGTATGCTTCCCTAAAAATAGACTTTGGATTGGAAACCTCTTTGAGGTGGAGTCCACAAAAGCGGTTTCTATTGTTTTCACCTTAAAGCATTTGGCTGAAGTATTCAGAGAAAAATTGTTTTAAAAGACATTGAGATTATTAGTTCCTTCCAATCCTACCATGTATCTCTCTATGCAAGTCTTTCTTCGGCAGATTGTTATATGGCTCGTGTATTGCTCGTCCAGGAGGTGATTACTATTGGACCAAAAATACTCGTGTCACCATTATTAGATCATCTAGAAAATTACACAACTTTTAATATGGTTTGAATTTCGTCGCAGAATTGTAGAGCACCGTCCTTACAGTGGGATCATTAGAAGAAATGGTTAATAGCAGTTGGACGATGCTTCATTAGGAATTCCTTTTGTAGGGTCATCAGAACAAATTCGCGCATGGGGTAGCTTATTATTGTTAGTTTTTCCTTATCTGTTCTCTCTTTTTTTTCCCTTTTTCTTGTTTTTTGGGGGCGGGGAGAGCTTCTACTGAAGACATTCAAATTATTTTAGATGTTCCTAATGTGGATGTCTGTCTTAGCTTTGGCGATTGCAGGATTATTTTCTGAAGTTTTGCTCTTTCATGGATTCTGTAGTTTTTTCATCTCTTCTAAAGACGTAACTGGATTATTAGCCCTTTGAATGCCCGTACACTCTTACTTAAAGACAAAGAACTAAATTACTCAAGTATAGTTAGGTGGCTTTTACATAAGCCAGCCTGAGCGAGGATGTGTGTATATATATATGCGAGAGAGAGAGAGAGAGCTCGTGCAAATATTGAAATGGAATTTAGACATCTTACTGTTCTTTGAGAGTACCTTTGTTTCTTGATGCTTCTGAGAAGACTTTTCTAAAGATTATCTATAGAGCAGTTGCTTGGACATGTTTGTTCATTTCTCTTGAATCTTGCTTTGGAACAACCTACAAGGTTTGTGCATTTGTTCCTCTGGTGTTATCTTCCCACCTCGTAGTTCATTCCCTTTTTTTGTTTATCACAGATTGCCTCTTCGGAATCGAGGTCTTCTCGCCCTTGCTTCTAAGCTATTCCTGTTAGCATTATACTGTGCTATATCTATATCTACACACATTGAGGTGGAGCTTTGGATGACATTTGACTGTAAATTCGTTGCACTTTTGATCAGGTTGAATTGCCCTGAGGCAGCTATGAGAAGCTTACATTTAGCCCGGCAGCATGCCTCCAGTGAACATGAGCGCCTGGTTTATGAAGGCTGGATCTTATATGACACCGGGCACTGTGAGGAAGGGCTTCGAAAGGCTGAGGAGTCTATTAAAATCACAAGATCCTTTGAGGCCTTCTTCCTGAAAGCTTATGCACTGGCAGATTCTAGCCAGGATACATCTTGTTCGTCCACTGTTGTTTCACTTCTTGAAAATGCATTGAAGTGCCCCTCAGATAGGCTTCGCAAAGGTCAGGTATGCTTGCTGGTTCCAATGTACCTATATATGTAGAGGTTTCCTTTTCTTTGTAGTTCTGGTCATTCGATGGATATCTTCTCCTTTCTAACATCATTCCAGTGTGTTCTTTCCCTCTTGGTCATGAAGTTGCTTATTATAATCACATCAGTTCTTTTGGCGAATTTATGAATTATATTCGACAACTTCAGTGTATAAAGCAATTTATTTTTCCACTAAAGATTCTGAGCATCTTGATTTATTTTGCTAAATGTATTGAACAAAAACTCTGCATCCTTGGAAGAAGTGGCTGATGTCAATTGATAATCTGACTAGATGTTATCTATTTGCTTTTTGTACCACTGGAGATGTAGCCTGTAGGCTTTCCCTGGAAGTTATGACTTTCCAATATCACTTAAACGCTGGAACTAAATGATAACAATTTACTACGCTCACAACTGTCGCAGATTATTTTCAAGAGCGTTTTATCCTGTCTTGTTAGCTTCCTGCATGTTTTGGTCATAGCGACGATGTTTCTTAAAAGTGTAAAAATAAAATCTGGCATAATGTAGATGTCGTTATCTCATTTGCTAAGATCACATATCCAATCTGGTGGATGTTGCAATAGCTGTTAGATCTCAATATCAAATGCTCAGACTGTTGTTATCTTATTTGTGACAGTTGCTACCTGCTATATTTGCAAGAAAGTTCTTGTTACTGTGCATTTGAGAATAGAACAGAGTCTTTATCTTAATCTCCTGTTACAAGCATTCATATTCTGCAAACTTATGGGCTACATTTTCACTTTAACTTTGCTGAAAGAGACACAAGCTTTTAGTCTATGATCTTCACTAATCTGTGTGGTATGAACTTAATCACATTGCCAGGCGCTGAACAATCTTGGAAGTATCTACGTCGACTGTGGGAAGCTAGAATTGGCAGCTGATTGCTATATTAACGCTCTCAAAATCAGGCACACAAGAGCTCATCAAGGGCTTGCTCGAGTACATTTTCTAAAAAATGACAAAGCTGCAGCATACAATGAGATGTCGCAACTGATAGAGAAGGCGAGGAATAATGCATCTGCGTATGAGAAGAGGTCCGAATATTCTGATCGTGAACTTGCAATGGCCGACCTCGAGATGGTTACCAGATTAGACCCACTTCGTGTCTATCCATACAGATACCGGGCTGCAGGTTATTAATCTACCTCAACTTTGTGTCATACCTTATAAGTGTTTCGCACTAGTTCTTTTGTTAGTATGTCCTTATTCTTGAACAGACACTTTAAGCATGCATGCATGTAAATGCCATAGTCATTGGGAATATACCATGCTACTTTTTTTTCCCAATGTAGAAATTTCTTTACATTATGCAATGGCGTTTTACCGCATTTTGATAGCAAATAATTACGATTAGAGGTTTTTGACAGCGATGCTGGTCTTTATGGATTTATAGTATCTATTACTTTGGTGCTTTTGTAACACTATCCAGTAAGTCGTTCTTGGTTCCCAGAGATTTTTTCCTTTGGAACTAACACAATGAGGCCTCCACCCTACCTCTCCCTCCAGTTTTCTATACCGTGCTTAATTTTGAGATCCCTGAAATTCCGATCGCTAGTTTTTGCTGTTTTCAGCTGGTTGGCGATCTCCTTAACAATGTCTTTTCATTTGTTTGATGCATTACTTTTCTCAGATAAATAGTTGTTCAGTATAACATGTAATAGTACTTGTTCATGCACTTGAATTGTTGTCTGAACATCAAAATATTATTCCTTAATCTTGTGAGATTAATTAACACTTCAAATGAAAATTGAGTTCATTCTCTCTCTCTTTAAAATTGACAGTACTAATGGACAGTCAAAAGGAAGATGAAGCTATTGCTGAAGTTTCGAGGGCAATTGCATTCAAGGCTGACCTTCACCTCCTACACCTGCGGGCAGCGTTCCACGAGCACGTCGGCAATGTCATGGGTGCCCTCCGAGACTGTCGAGCGGCTCTCTGTGTCGATCCATATCATCAAGAGATGCTGGAGCTTCGCAGCCGAGTAAACAGCCATGAGCCATAAGTCTGGCCAGGGAAGCAGAGAGTGCATCTAATATTTCATACCCGTCGTGTACAGTAAGTGCGCTTGAGTCATCCTGTAGGATCACATTGTATCCTTTTTGCCATTATTAATGGATTTTGGTAAGTTATATATGTTCTCTTCATTTTGTTCCATTTGTATGTGAGGAAAATGTCAAATGAAGCGCAGAAAGTTACATTCCTTCGTCTATTTAGTCGGTTAATGCACTGCTAATTCTTTCTCATGCATATGTCAAATCAAAGTGGATGGATCGTGCTTAAACAGCTTAAATCTATTAAGGTTTAGGATTGAATTGACACAATTGCAATAGGTTTTAGGACTTTTTTGGTAATTCTCCCGTTCGCGTAAGGGAAATAAGGGAAGAACGGAGTTGCAGTTCTGTTACGTGTTACGTCGTGATGAAATATCTATCCACGTGAAAGGCTAATTATTACGCTAATGTGAAGTTATGCTGGTCACGGGATAGGACTAACGGTGAAGGTCTTTAAGACATTTGACTCTGACAGAGCCATCACCCTAGCTAAGCTTAGTTGTTATACCCTGCTGTTTATGTCCCGCAGCTTGGCCTAATAAATGTGTGGCGAATGACGAGCCTGCAGCTTTTCTACATTACAAGTTTAAATATGTATCTTAGAGATGACAATATGAACTTATTAAGATTAAAGAGATAGAAACTGCAATGACATCCTTAAAGTCAAACCATGCTTCTATGCGCTTCAGTTTCAACTCGCGCTACCTTAGGAGTGTTTTGATTACTCTCACACAGGTATATGGTAACATCCGATCCGAATGACGATATTGTGGATTCATGGAAGTTTTGCTGAGAATGTCAAAGAGCAGGGAATAGAAACTTTGTACATTTATACAACACCGTAATATACACAGAGGTGCTCCACCAAAGAAAAGAAAAGAAAAGAAAGACCAAATATACAAAGGCACACGCTCGTGTAATAATAATCTATAGAAAGCTATAACTGATGACTTGCATCATTGGCTACTGTTGGCTACTGCCGCGAAAGCCAATATTTGAACGGAGAAGATGTATATCGGCGACACACCGTATCAGGAACATCGTGGGCATTTAAATAAGCAGAAAGTGAGGACGTCTACAGACGTATGCCGGAAGTTGCTGGAAACTGTTTGCCTCGCCTTACCGTGACATCCGCGAGGGAATGAACATATAACAATCTCCTTTTGCAGCTGCAAAGGTATTTCCCTGCGGAAATGTTCCCGCACGTCTCATCAATAAAAATCACATACTACTGATAGAAAGCAGTGAACAAAATTGAATGGTGAAGCAGATTACCATCATTACGCATATTTCCCGATTTATTTTATGTTCGGCACATTGCTTGCATGTCGAATCAGTAGACCATGAGGGTAAACCGTATCCCTCTCATAACAGGAGCCCATAAGTTCATATTTCAGATGTAGATCTTACCATAATTCATGTCCTGCGCAGAGTCTTGAAGTAAGGATGTTGCAGAGCTTCATCAACACTGAATCGGTCATCCTGCAATTCACTATGTATTTTAACGTATGTCCAACAACGTAGGAATTTAAGTTATAAGTGATCCTCTGATTTCAATCAAACGATGTCCTCTCCATCATAATTCAAAATGCTTAGAGAAAAGAGTAAAGTTTCAGTACGGGTATTTTGAACGTGCATGCTCAATCAGAAAATAAAAGAAAAAAATAATTCCTGATACATAGTGTTGCATGTTTCCTGCATGACCAGGTTAACTGCACTGGATGTCAAGAGCCCATATTGACATAACTTTTGGACTTCTGGTGCTAGTTTCAGGAAAAAAAATTGTCTTATTTTTTTTTTTTGTACAAGTAATCCACGTAAAGGGACCATGGGTATACTAACCAATCAACAAAATCAACTCCTATGATAAGGACTCCAGTGTATCAAAATTAAGCATTCACATCCAAGACTCACACCACATATGTCCCAAATCATTGCAGTAAAAGCCAAGAATCCACAATCGTCACAAAATGGTTCTCAAAATTATGAAATTTTCTCCTATTTTAGATATTTTTTAAAGCAAGCCAAAAAACAGAAAACCTTTATAAAGCAAGAACAGGGCCAGTAGAAACCTCCAAGTTTCCTATTTTCTGGAAATGGAGTGAAACTTTTTCCAAGATACTTGTTGAGGACCTCACATAAAAGCCATAAAAGAGATGCTACAGGATACTTGCAAATATATAAATTGCTGTTTGCCTATGAGACTTCAATCAACTTTCCCAATAGTCTGTAGGTTTTTCAGCTGATTCAACCCATTGTAATCAATGCAAATGCTCCTTATTTACAGAAGAGACACCAGCATATCCTTGAGAAGAAAAATGCTATAAGTATTCATTTGGAAATTATATATTTCTTAAAACTGAATTGCAATTTTTATTAGGTTGTATCAAAGCAAAAGCCATCTTTTATATGCAGAATCCTCAAGTCTGTGGTAAGCAAAACATTCTTCGAGAGGAAATAGTTAAGATAGTCATTTGCACAATGAAAAACTTACTGGATCCCACAGTAAGAGATGGCGGACCAATCGCAGAGCCCAAACATCTGTAAAGCTGCAACATTTTTTGGAAGTAAATACTGTCATGATCTAGCAAGACTCGAAAGAGAACAAGGGAGCCTCGCACAACAGCAAGACGACTTTGAAAGCATACACGACCTATGTAAGATATCAGGAAACATACCCAATCTTAAGAGGATCTCTGCTCTTTATTTGATGTGAGAAAAACTCTTCCGAACATTTCCAGGAAGCTGGTGAAACTCCACTCTGCATCTCAACGTAGGAAATGATTGTAGGAAATAACTGTTAATACACTTTGACATAAAAACCACAAAGAAGTGCCAATATCTACTAACTTGACAAATAATCATGAATTATTGGAGATCACCCTAGTTCAGACATCAATTTGAAATCATTCACAAGTTCAGCATCTTCTTTACTCATTCATTAGGAAGTTTGGGGACTAAAGTTAACTGAATCAAACTTCGAGACAAGTGACTTTTTCTGGCAAGTTTGAAAAACAATTAAGTAACAAGTATAAACCCCCGAAAGAACGGCAGGTTGCAGGTTGTGCAAAAGACACTCTAGTGTCTAGACCTGTCAAAAATCAGAGTGTTGGAGGTTACCTTGTACATTGCACCACCAAACTGATGTTTCAAGGAACTACCTGGGATCAAGATGCACATCTCCATAAACGATCTAAGTCTGACACATGCACAGAAAAATGAACCAATCTTTAGAAAATATCTTTAAACACATCATGGCACAAAACTGTAGCAAAGGATGATGTTTCAGTTGGTTCTTTATTAACTTTTAAATGTTTGCATTTAAATGTGCTAAGTATTGGGCACTCAACAGTCAACAACCATCTCAATCTGTCTGTTCCACAACCCTTTCATTGCATATAAATGGGATGCAAGCTATACATGCACGTTTACGGAGACACAATCCAAACATTCAGGAAAATCATTAAATGAATCCTAAACCTACGACCGTCAATTCAGTCCAAAGTTATCCATTTTTGCCAATTTAGTACTAAATCTTTTGATAATTTTTCAATCTAGTCTTTTCAGCCAATTTAAGCCAAAAAATGTTGACTTGGAGGTCCAATCAGAACAGTCCATCGTACGTGTCCGACCGAAGGCATCTGACGTGGACCATCATTAATAGAAATGACGCCATTAATAAAAAAAACAAAAATACCAGAAGCCCTCTTTTCCCCCGATTCGCAATCTCACATTCCCGTGGATGGACCCTAATTTCTCTCCCATTTCCCTCAAATCGGCCCTAATTGACTCCCTCATTTTGCCCCAGGCCTTTCTTCATCAGAATTGCCAATTCCCCCCAATTGCAAAGACCCGATTTGTTCGTGGAATCCAAAAGAATCTTCATTCCCTCAATTCAAACTCTAATTCCATCACATTTCCCTCGAGATTCCACAGCGACGACAAAGTATGGTGGTCCCAATCTGTGTGTGGTGTCCGGAGTCTTCAGTTTTTTACAAAAAGGCGGAGACCAATCAGAAGGTATTTTGTCTTTGTGGTCTTGAACTGAGTGTGTCGTCCTTGTCGTATTTATATGTTGATTTGAGGGAAATGGGAAAGAAATTAGAGTTCATCTGTGGGAATTTGGGATTGCGATTTAGGAGAAGAGAGGGCTTCGATTTTTTATTTTCTTTAATGAAACAATACGGCATTGTTTCTATCAGTGATGGTCCTCGTCAAAGGCTAGCCAAACACATAGGATGGCTAGTGCTGACTGGACCTCGAGGTCAGCATTTTCCAGCCGGAAGGACTACATTGAAATAGGACTAGCTTGGCAAAATTTGAAATTGAAGGACTGAATAAGCGGCGGTACAATAGATGTAGGACTGATTTGGTAATTTCTCCCCAAGCATTCTCTTTCTATTGACCAAAAACAAATTATTTTACGAGCTACATATTTATGAGAGAAATTTCATATACAAAATGATGCAAAAGAACCATAATACATGAAGTAAGGTGCAGACTTACCTATATGCCAACTGCTTTAAACCTTCACTCCATCCCTCAAGATGTTGATCCAAAAGAGTACGGGTTAAAGCACTTATATGAAAAACATCTGGTGACCCTAGTATCAACTCTAACATGACCACACCAACACTCCACATATCGTACCTGTTATCAATACACTATTGGAGATTAACAAATATTTGTCTCTACAGAGAAAACAACAATCTTCAAGATAAGGAATGCTCAGCTCACTTCATGGTGGTTGGTCCGTGATACCATGTTTCATTTAGTAAGGCTTCAGGAGGAGTATATTCTGTAGTTTGTTCAGCTCTGGAGCAGCATCAAATACAAAAAAAGATAATAAAAATCACACGAAGAAGATGACAACTTTCTAGAGGATAGATTCAGCAGTTCTACAACAAATAAAGCTCTTTTTCTGAATGTTACAAGAAGTTCAGTTTCTTTTAACAATGTAATACCTTGAAGGGCCAGCCAATCCATACAGATGCTTCAGAGTGAATTGATTTATTGCACTCCCAAAGTCAATAATGCGCCTGACACAGGAAGTACAAAATTTGTTCCCACATAAGCATTTAAACTGCAACTCGCTACCTCACTCCAAGTAACATAAGTGAAAACCAAAAGAAGAAACTGATCTAACCCTTGGAAGATGGAAATTTCACTTCATCCAGAAGTTAGACATTACAAGAGCCAAATTAAATGACTTCAAGAAGAACCAAGAATAGCAAGGGATTTGTAAGAGAATCAACAGATTTTGTTGAAAATTCGATGACTCCCAGAATAACTAAGAAGAAGTAGCTAAAACAAAGAAGGATGCAAACAGGAAAGCAGTATAAAGTTAAACATGCGAAACAATTACAACATCGTCAATATTAACATCCAATTAATCTTTTAATCCACCAGTAGTTAGGTGCATCTTTTATACCTGAAAATAAAAACTGTTTTAATGCTCTCACAAGCCGAGAATGCATAATTTATCCAGAGGAGTAGCCAAACATTAAATGACAAAGGAACCAAAAAGGCCAAAAAGGGAAGCATCGAGAAATGGAATGGCAAAAATCTTTGTTAAAGCCTAGAAGTAGGCTCCACACCATCGCATGCATGGTTATTTTTATTAACTAATCAGAGATACATACATTAGCAGATATAAGAGCTTGAAGCAGCTGTAAGAAGAGAGAAAATCCAATGCCTGCATAGTTCAATGCTGAATTCTAAACAATCAAATAATCAATAATGCCAGAAAAATTAGCTGTAGATTTCCTTAATAAAAAAAAGTTCAGAATACATTTTGCTGATATAATTCTTGTCTCCATTTGGAGTTCCTCTCAGACATCTCCCAGTTTCCTTATCCTCAAAGCATATCACCATGTTCTCTACAAAAAGAAAAAGAAAAAGAAAAAAAAAATCCAAATATCAATCCATTGTATAAGCATGATCTTCAGTCACGCATCTCCCTACCAACTAAAGCAATCATGAAGGATTTTCGCGCCCCCCACCAACTATAGGTATCGTGAGAAGGATTGCCGCACCCAAGAGCGCGCTCCTAAAAAGTATTTGTAAGTTAAGCAACTCTTGTACCGGAAAAAAAATGAAGTAGGTTGGTTCTGAGATTATAAAGCTACTGACTTGACCGAGATTTTCATGAAGAAAGTTTAACAAGTGCAAGAGAAGGCCATGGTCGTGTTATGTGACAGCCAACTCGTACGTTTAAGGAGAAATGGTGTTTCTTCATTAAGTTTCCAAGAACCTATGCATGACAAAGAAGCAATCAACAAGAAAATGATGTAGCTGGTTAATGAACTGCTTCGCCAACCAACATATTGTTATCAAGTCACTTATTTAGTCATGAATGAAAAACATCGGTGGCACAAAGAAGATGATATGTCCACGGCCAATATTATTTTCATATCACTTTACTAGATAGTTTATATATTGCGACAGATTGTATATCCTTACCAGGTTTAATATCCCTGTGAGTGATATTACGGTCATGGCAGGCTTTGAGCGCCAACAACTGAGCATAAAAAAGAAAAGAGGTTTTAATAATGCATCCCAAAAGCAACAACCAGTGCTATCCCAAGGAAAGAAAATGACAAATCATAGGGATTATTAAAATTAGCTGAAGTTTCTGAATTTTTTTGGGCCTAAAAAATGTCTGCAATTGAAATGATCCGCCTATGTATGTAACCCTCTACAACCAAAGAACCAGAACCCCAATTACAACTTCAGCGGTACCTAGCATCTATACAGATATTTGGTAAACTCCAAGTCAAGGCTGGTCATGATATCCTGATTTCATGAACGATATAAAATGAAATCAGTCCGACCCAATACAAAAAGCATAAAGCAAGTTCCAGGTGATAATGATATGGCTCTTGGACAGGTTTTCTACCTTCATGCAAGTGATGCCAGTCAATTAGATATGGAAAAATGACAATTGTCGTGAAGTAGCAATTATATGGCTTATTATTTTCAATATTCATTATCATGAACGATAACACATCTTATAGGATCTAGAGGCCGTAAAGCAGTAAACTCACAAAGAATATGCTCGTATTCTGAAGAGCATGCACATGAAAGCACATTTCCAGAAGAACTGTCAAAATCTTTTAGCTTCAAAAATGGTTCATATTTTCAAGAAGTAACTCTTTGGTCCGACTTAGAAGTGCAAGATCAGACAAACTTGAAAGAAATGTGTCGATCTAATCATATCAATGAAAATCATTCAGACACATATCGATCTACTGATGGGCCACTCGGCCTTCTGTAAAATTCTCCAAGATGTTTCAACTGTTATAGACTGAACTGATGCAAGAATCAATGTCATTCTGATATAACTACCTCGAAATATCACGGGAAAATTATATACATATGGCATACTATAAATAATTGTGCACCCCCTATTTTGACAATTTTCCAACCAACAGTTCAGATCTTCAATGCGGACCTGCAGTTGGAGGCTTAGTTTAGGTGAATGCAATTGACTCTACATATATTTTCACCAAGAACAGAACTAATTGAGCAATTTGGGCATATAATTGTGCACCCCCCATTTTGACAATTTTCCAACCAAGAGTTCAGATCTTAAATGCGGACCTGCAGTTGGAGGCTTGGTTTAGGTAAATGCAATTGACCCTACATATATTTTCACCAAGACTTGGGCATTATACTTTTGGAGAATCAGACGAGTGGCTTTTGAATAAGGGTGTGAGGGGTGTGAGGGTGACTTGGACTAAATTCCAATGTTCTTTCCTCCATAAGTTTCTCAAGACCAAATCATAGTAAAAAGCTTTAGCTATTAGCAGATTGATCTTGCATCAGTATAGTCAAGAGGGATGATGTGCCTTGCATACTCTAGCTAAGAAACTGCAGTACTATATCTACAGCATTACAGGGCCAAACAGAGGTTGACCGACTGACCAACGGCTGAGTATGGATGCACAAAGAGTTTATATTAGGCGTACCAATTGCAATATAAGGTTGCACATTTCCTTTTGTCCCGCTTCTGTAGTTTTCAACCAGTGCCACCATTTTGATGGACGCAATACCTGAGCATGTTTTCTTCCTTCAATCCCATCATCACCTCTCTCTTCTACTTCTTCGACAGTGTATAGAAGCTTTGACAAGGAAACACCTTCGTGACGGAACACAAGCCACATATCGTTGGAGCGTGACTCAAATGACTCTACATATCTAGCAATATGATCCAATCCCTCTTCATAAAAGTCCCTTCTCTGACTAAATCTGTTTGGCGAAATACTAACGAAGGCCCTTGATTTCTGTGTCTTATAAGCAGCTGATTTAATAATTTCTGACTTTCCAGAAAATCTTGACTTTGATTCTTTGGAAATAATGTCCTCTGCTCCACTTGAAATGTCTTCAAGAGACTTAGATGCATTGAGAAAGACTTCGCCAAAATACTTCTCCCGTAGTCCACTTAAGTATACAGCAAGGCCTTTCTCTACCTGCTCAAAAATCAAAGGGTGACTATAAAGAATACAACCATGTAGTTCTCTCTTAAAGTCACACAAAACTTTAATATCACATATTAAAGTTTCTAAGCATTCAATACATTAAAAATATCCAAATGACCATCATTATTGATATTATATCTTATTAATCTAAAATCAGATGAAATTGCTATGTCAACTCAAAGGAAAACTTGGAGTACCATGTGCATAGCTTCATTCTGAATTAAAAAAGTCATCTGTTAATTGTATAGTAAAACTTGATAACTGCAGGCCAAAATCATTACCATTATGCGCTTTAAAATGAACAAGTTATCTGCAGCAGAGCTGCAGTTGTGACTTGATGAGCTGTTACATAAGTGTCTGCTAGATGACCCAGACATCGTAGCATCAGAGGAAACATTCTTCAATTTCTGACTCCAGTCAAAGGAATTGCTTTCTTTGCAACAATTCCAGTGAAAAGCCAACCATACTTCACCGAATGATCCTCGCCCAAACCTCTTCTCAAGGACATACCTACACCGTGTAATAAGAACAATTGTCATCACAAGGAACGCCTCCAATCAGGGAAAAGGATGATGCTTGATAGCTACCAATCTTGTCACCCGTTTATGAAACGAATAAACTAGTGCAGATTTTGACAGAACTAGAAGCTATTTCCAGATCCCATGTTACACTCCATAATATTCACTAATTTAATTTTCATGCCAACCATATCTTAAACTGGTGCCCTGGAACTTTAATGTAGCTCTTACTGACCAATTTATAAATCTGATTTAGGAAACATTAAGATCTAGAAAATATCAAAACAATGTTTTTCAGGGTTCTTTTAAAAGTTGAAAAATCTACGGAGGATGCTTGAAAGAGTTTCAGAAAGTAACATCGTCATTTTTAAGCATTGCCATGATCGGATGTATCTATACTATATGAACTTAACGACGGACTATGCATCAACTTCAGAACATAAGTTAAATTATTTGAGAGAGAGAGAGAGAGAGAGAGAGAGAGAGAGAGAGAGAGAGAGAGAGATATTACATCTCTTTTTAAGTGTATTTAGAAAGATATAAAAGCATCTGCAATGAATTATCTAATGCAATATGTCAAAACAGATATGCCACAGTGTAAGCTAGACAAAATGGAAATTTCCTCAATTCCTTTCATCTTTCTTGTGGTCCTACTAAAGTACTGCCGGTCATCACTTTGATTATATGGATGAAGGCATCATTTCAAAGGGCAGTTGACCAATTCAGCTGACTGGCCTTATGTGATGGTCGTTGTAAAATTTTGTTGAACCACTGACAACTGTTCTAAAAGCTTAAACTATTAAATAAAGAAGTGATTTAATACATAAATATTTTAATATTCCCCCTCATGTGTAAACTAAACTTAGGTCTAAGACAGAAGTGTTGATATATAAAATGGGGAGGGCAAATAGATAAGATTTGATCTCAAGATCTCCTAGTCTAATACCATGTAAAATTTTATGGAACTACTACAAATTGTTCTAAAAGCTTAAGCTATTATGAAGGCGTGATTTAATATTTAAATATTCTAACGGTGTAATACAAGATATGTAGATCTGTAAATGATAAAATTATCTGACATTGACGTGGAGCAAATTCTGCATTGACACAATCTCTGCTTATGTTTCAAGGAAATTTCTGCACCTGAACTTAAATTGTCTGTTAGTGAGTTGATTCTTTGGGGAAGGGGTAAAGACTATGCCACTTCAGACGTAAATTGTCTGCGAGTGAGTTTATTCTTTGAGGAAGGAGTTAAGACTTGCGACTTCGGACGTGGTGTAGGGGTAGACTTGCTAGAATTGCCTAATCCCCACAAGGCTACACCCTGAAGTATGATGTTTCATGAGGGGAAAATTTACCATATCCCATCATATTTTCACTTCTAACAGTCACATGACAACAAAAAATCATTATAAGTTCCATTCAAGCCATTATTTATAACTTATATTCATGAAATTCAAAATCAAGTAGATTTTGAGCTGTGTATGTTTTGTGTAAACTTATTTTATATCTATATGTTTAAAATACTATTGTGGCATAAGCTTCCTGATGTTCATGTCTTAAATCCCAATTCGTATCTATAACCACGTAGGGGCCAATCGAGAACGACAGGCCTACTGTGAGTTGGAAAGAAATTCCCTTCTCAGGCAATAAAAAGCACAAATCAAAAGCACCTCACTGCCATTTATCGTCGCTCTCCTCTTCCTCTCTTTCCCCCAGGGATACAAGACGAAAAGGTACAAGGAGATTCAGGTAGTTATACGGAACATTTGTAATATCTTCAAATAAATTAGGATGTTGTCAAATTCTCACGAACTAGACTCTGATGTGTGGTGAGACTGGGTGAGAACGCGGAATGAATTAGACGGAAAGAAAGAGTTTGATGTGTTAGCCAAAAAAGAACTTTGGGATAGAACAGTTCACCACCAAAGGCATAAAGGAATACTCCACCAGCTAAGGATAAAGAACTTGAAGGTTTACCACCAACAAATTGGATGAAGAATCGAAGGACTTTAAGGTTCACCACCGAAGTGTATTGGATAAAGTACCCAAAAAAATCACTCACTTGAGAGAAATTCTCATGTATTATCAACTCACAAATCCGCATGCTTACAACTGAGAAAGCACCTCTTAATTATAGAGAGACTAGGACACTAAACTAGGAAAGATTAAACTAGAAAACCTTAAATTAGGAAATGTTAAACTAGGAAACAATGAACTAGGAAATATTAAACTAGGAAACCTAGTCAAATTAGGATTCTACTCAAATTAGACACCAACTTGAAATAGGAAACCTTTGACTCAGCCGAATGAGTCTTTCTTCTTAAACTTCACCTGAGATGTCATCTCCTCATTGGACCACCCGCATCATTCAAATGCAAGGTGCCTATCCACCTTAGAGGGAATTTAGCTAAACTAGTTGAAGATCCATGCCTTGTAGGAATTTGAAGATTAGCTTATTGCAACTTTTAATTTTTACAATTTAATGTGGTCATAAAACGCAAAATATATAAAAGTCTCATGTAGTACACAAACAACACATATTTATCAACCAAACAATTAATTTAAGTATTATTTTAAGGGTTAATACCACGAAAAACCCCAAACTGTTACAAATGTGACAAATTTACCCCAAACTGATTTTTTAACAATCAAAAACTCCAAACTGACACATCTATGATAAATTTACCAAAAACTAATTTGTTGACCACCAAAAAACCCCAAACTGGTACATTTGTGACAAATTTACCCTCTGTTAGTTTCTGTTAAATTGGATTAATACCATGAAAAACCACAAACCGGTACACTTGTAACTAACAGAGGGTAAAACCCCAAACCCTTACACCCGTCAACTGTCACATGTCATCCAATTCAGCAATTTGACAGTCAAATTTATAGGAGGGTAAATTTGTCACAGGTGTACCAGTTTGGGGTTTTCATGGTATTAACCCTTATTTTGATAAAGCATATCGATAACAGTTTTAGAATTTAAATTACTTTAACACTATTTTCGCTATATATAGCTAATTGTTGATTATTAATGTAACATTCTGTCTTTATAATGTGACTGAATTTTATGCAGGGATTTTACTTATAGGAATGAGTGCCCTAGAGCAAGTAAAAGTCGGATTGACACAGATTATTTATATTTGAATAATAACTTCTGGAGAATATACATTTGAGTTTTACGTAAGATGTCACTTTTACGCGACCAATGTAAATGTCAACTAAATTTATAGATTAAAAAGAAAATTCAAATCTAATTACAACTTAGAAAAACTTTTGTGATTCTTTTCTGCTACTACATAAGCATGATATAATATATATACATATATATTTCCAATAGTCTAGACATGTATAATTTCTTTGTCGCAAAGTCTAGTAAAGCATTTTGTGCAAATACATAATTAATAACTTAAAGAAAGTAGAGATTAGTATGACTCTTCATCAAATAACTAGTGAAAAAATCATACATCAATCAAATTATATTCATCTATGTATGTGACAAAACCAACCACATTAAGCAATGGAAATGTTATCTTTATTCACTACTATTATATAGAATTATTTCCTAATCAATAAGTTACATAAATTAATGTGAAAAAATTAATATTAAATTAAGTGGGATAAATAAGCTTTCTTTTTTTTTGTGTCATAAATACTAATGTTAGTGGGTTGTAATTAATGTAAAGAGTAGTGGCCCTAGAGGGAGAGAATGGAGTTTTGTGATGATGTGGCTCCATACAAAGCTCCATTGTACTCACTTTTATTACCATATGTAGATATGGATGCAGGCTTGTAGCATGTGACAGATATAGATCACCACGGGGAAGATGGACCAATGAAGGGAGGGCAAACTTCACTAGGCATTTTCTTCATGACGGGCAATGTAAATCTTTCTTGGTATAACTTTTTGTAAAGGAGTAACAGAATTATTTTCTGAGATCAATCATGCTTGACATGCTATATAGTACCCCTAAGGCAACAATACAGGGAAGATGGCAGTATAAGGAGATGCGACATGACTGACCCTATTCTAGAGCCTTACATCTTGAAATAAGTCTCTCGTTCACTCTAGCCATTAGCTGGAAAGCTGCCCTTTCACCTAGGAAATTCCCGACCTTTCCCTTAAGTTCTTCATGGCACTATGAAGGGAGGTTTTCTCAGTAAACAGTGAGGTTAACATCAACCGAAGATAGTTCAGAAATTCCACCAGTTCTAAGTAATTACCGAGAGTGGAAATGTTGCTCGTTACTGTGAAATGGCGAAGCACTTCTTGTGAAACAAATTTATAATTTGAGACTACCGACACATAAGCTAAAACGTAGTACCTTCAGGTCCATTTCTGTTTCTCAAGGGTGAAGAAAAATTCCTCAAGAAAGTGTATCTTTCACTCCTTCAGTTTGTACTCAATGGCACAAACAGAATGACAGACCTACTCTAGAGGTATGACAAAATACGGCTTGATACTTCTGCTATCGAACAGTCATCAGTCAAGACACATGTTGTTGGTCTCCATATATTGTTCATCCTCAGTGGTTGGCACCTCGTGGTACGAGGAAATATTAATAACTTATAAAAATAAAATACAAATCACCCTGAAACTTCATTCGGATCCTGGAAAATCATTTTCCCATGGGATAAGTGCAAAAACAGTCTTACTTTTGTCTATTAGTCAATTGAGTCCTAAATGTTTTCGATTTTGGCCAATCAAGTCCTCATCTTATTGTCAGTGGCCTTTTGCAGAAAATCAGGTGTGGACTTGATTGACTAAAACGATTGCCAAGTAGCCTTTTCTAAAAGCAAAAGTTCACCATAGGACTTGATTGACTAAAACGAAGACATTTAGGATTTAATTGACTAAACAAAATGTCAAGGACTAGATTGACCAACAGGAAAAATAACAAAAAATAATAAGACATGCCAGAGATGAACCTTCATAGGTAACTTAGAAAAATAGACTTTCCATAAATATGTGTAACAAATCCTTCATCATACTATATAAAGTTTCCATATCTCACATACTGGTATTTAATAAATATTAATGTACCAAAAGTCATGCGTCTCACACACTGATTCAACTGAGCCAGACTGATAGTAGAAACTCAATTGGAGTACTTGGTGTGACATTAATAGCCACTAACCATTGAGGCCCTATATTCTGTTCCTACATGTTTCTCATCATATCATATTGTATTCTTCACATTTGCAACTGCACCAATAATTTCACACTGTAGTCCAGAACAACTCCTTATCTCAAAACCTTGGAACCATTCAAAATGAAAGTTAAAAGTTCCACAAACTGGAACAAGAGCATCATAAAAGAGTACTCACTGCAAAACAAATGATGGCCATAGGTGTATAAATAGGAATGAAGAATGCCAAGGCCATTTAAATAAACCAACAAAGTACTGGAACCATTCAGAATAGCTGTCAAAGTTCCACAAACTAGAACTAGCATATCACGCAAGAGCACTCACTGCAAAACAGGCAACGACCACTGGTTGTATAAATAGGCATGAAAAATTCTTAAGTCAATTACTTAGAGCAACAACAAGTCCTATATTCTGTCGACATGGTCAAAGCAATTAAAAGTACCTTGAGTTGGGTACTGTGTGCTCGTTTGATGCATGCGTATCATGGAATGAAATTGATTCAAGCAAACCGAGGAAACTAGCAAAGCTTTCGGGATTTGTACATTGACCTTGCACTGAACTAACAGTCATTCCAAAATGCAACCATGAACACTGGTCACCATATGCATTCAGCTTTCCACCTAATAAAAAAATAGAAAGATATAAAAAGAGTACAGCTACATTTAAGATAGCTAGAAACTATATGAAGAAACAATATAAAAGTACAAAACCTGACTTTTTCTTTTACTTTGCACAAAAGTATCATTTTCATGTGCTCATCCACAGAAATTCACTGTAGGTATGCCCCATCACATACATTCCAGACGTAAAAGATATAACAACAGCAGAATACTTTATCTTCCAAACAATTAAAACTAAAAAGAAATTGCATATGAGGGAAATATTGTTCTTCTAAACCAAAACAAGTACATTGAGAAATTATATGAAAGAATTTTTTAAGAATGATAACTACAAAATTACACATCCAAGGCAGAACCACTACTACTTGCAATGTGCAAAAGGTTATAGTGAAGAAACTTCGCTTACCACTGTGTTTACTAAGGGCATCAGGTAGAGCTTGAGGAAGGTCATATGCACTGTCCTTCCAGTCATCATTCCTAACTTGAGATGTAGAGTCCATAATCTCACTAAGAGGCTCAGCTAAATAAAAACAACAGAAACTTCCATGTTTTACCTCAATCTGGAAGACAAGAAGCAAACAACTATCAGCTATAACCACCTGCTTTCCAACATACAACAATGCGAAATGTGAAAAACATGGCAAAAAATACTCGAGTAGTTAAGTTTTTTCCAAGGTGCAAACAGATACAGTGGATGTTCTGTCAAGAATTTCTTTTGCAAGCAAGATTTCCCGGTACTAAGCATTAAAACGTAACATCTATTTGACAGTCTACTATAATTTAGGCCATTCTACAGTGCCTTGAGTCCTAGACAATATAGCAGAAAAAAAAAGGTCCACGGTATTCATTGACCGTCCAATGTTTAAACACTTCATCTCCACCATCGGATAAGAGGAGCCCATATGAATTCACAACTTCCTGGACCATGCTAATCTGCGTTACAGTTACTATAACCTTAAAAAGATTTACTAAGCAATGGTAGGATGGTGGTTACTAAAGACATTGAAAAGAAATTACTTGACCCATAGTCAGTTACCCCACATTGAACGATGACCAATTTTTCCAAAGGGGGAGGAGGTCCAGATAAATCATAGTAACCTTCCCAGCTTGTTTGGTAGTAATTTCTTGATCAGAGTTAGAAAACAATATAAAAGGACTAAGTAAGACTGGCTATCAGAGGTCAAATTGGTCACAAGAGTTCCATTCATAGATCCACAGTATTGCAGAAATCCCGTCAATGATTATAATCCAATAGACCGTGACAGATAAATTATGCATATAAAGAAAATAAAAGGAATGATGCCATCGCCATCTCAAAGTAATATAACAATAGACTAATCATCATGATCATGTGCTGAGAAATTGGCAGATTTGAAGCTTTTCATAAACGAAAAAACACAAAAATGAAAATTTATTCTACAACATGACAATATGAAAACAAGTGCAAAATACAATTCTTTTTCTACTTACCATTAGCCTTTCAAATTTGGCCATAACTGGATAAGCATTCTCCAAGTGAATGATCTCAGATGTCATGCCCATTTCTGACAAAAGAAGAAGGGAGGAAGAACGGTCGAGAAAGATTTAATTATTAGCATAAAAAAGGTAGCAAGCAGGAACAGAAAGAAATGATTTGGAGGATACTCAATGGGGAACTTGACTGAAATGAAAGAATGGCAAAGGAGGAAAAAGAGGCAACAACAAATAAACATGACTGAATTGACTTCAGTAAATATGCACACGCATGAATTCTTTTATATGTGGACAAAAGGAAAGACCGCCCCTTTTGGAGGCTTTTGGGGGGGTAGGGTCCGTAGGGATTGGTTTCGGCAGACGAGGGGAAGAGAGAAAGGATGTAGAAAAGAGCACCACGGGCCCGAGGTTCCACAGGTAAGCGTAATTTGTTTGGAAAAGTGGAATAGTTGGAGAAAGAACGGTAGATTAAAAAAATGTATGTGGAGAAAATAGATTTATGTTGATTGGATGAATATAAGGAAAAAAAGAGGTGAAGATTTTATTGAGAATTGTATATCTACTAGAATTGAAAATAAATCGTGGAGATCTGGAAATGCTTATATTCCTTTTACCAAAATCCCCTTCATCTTCTGACATATCTGCAACTTTAATATAATGGGCCCAAGTGTGGCTTCAATCTCATACCCACAGTCAGTGCCCACTTTAGCAACTTGAATCACGTTTGCCTTTTCCTTTTTTAGTTTATTCACATAATAATTGATTCACCCATCTTTCTCCTTCAAAATAGTTAGGTTATATTCCCTCACAAGGACAGAACTAGCTCTGTTAACATTATGTTCAAATAGATCTACGATCAAAGTCTTAATGGCATGCAACTAACATGATAATTTCCAAGCGTATTCAGTGGAATTTATGATCTGCTCACTCATATTCACAATTCACAAAAAAGGGTAAAAGCGTCATTTTTCCATACAACATTTCTCTTTCCTCTTTCTTTTCATCTATAACAATTAACATACAGAAATCTATTTCTCCAGATTTTCTTCACCCCACATCTATTCTTCCAGACAACTATAAGGAAATCATTTTCTTCACAATTTTCTTTATCTCCCAAAATACCTTACTAAACGTAGTGTAACAGATTAAAGATTGACAAATAAATGACCAAAACTGCATTCCTCCAACTTATTGAAGCTCTATCTAAAATAATATGTATCCCACTAAGCATAAGTACCACTTGAAGCAATAAAGACAAGCATGCATTATAAAAGAGTAGCATCTTCTAGAGGAAGTACACTAAAATGGCTATGTGCAAAAGGAAAACTCAAGAGAATATGATCAAGATCCGTAACTGGCCAAAACTTAAAAGTGAAGGATAAGAGATCAAAACATGCTACACACCCAGTCCAACTGGTCGGTCCTACTTAACAGCAAAATCAGTCTAATGATATCTCACTTCAAAGGAAGGATAATTTCTGAAAGAAGCATACTCAGTCGAACAATCCATCATCACTAGATTAGACAGAAATTTCTGGTTCAACAGAATAAGCATGTCAAACAGAATAGTATCTCTGCCCACCCTGCAGGCAACATGTAAAGCCCTCAACGGCAAACCTGGTCCAGTATTGAGCTGGCTTAAAAGCTCTATTCATGCTCTTAACTACCAAAAGCTCCTAAATTTCTGAGGCCATCATTCAATAATAAATCTGGCACTGGCAGGCAGAAGCTTGACCAATTATGATAAGTACAACTTATGAGAGAGTAAACTGACAACAGAGGAGGTCAATCACCTACTGCCAGTTACATTTTCTACAGAGCCCCACTTGATAACAATTTGAAAGCAACAATAAACCCAGCATATTCATAACTGAAACAAACAGCACAACCTCGAACTATTAGATTGGGTATCTCAAGAAATTACGTAAGCAGAACCACACATGAGAACAGCAAAATAACACTTTGTGAGCACAGGGACTCACCTGATTGCTCATGTACATACTTCTCTCCCAGAGTTGCATGCATATGTTGCCATTCAACAAGACTTCTACTTTGAAGGTTTTGAGATAAATCAGTAGACTGCAGAGGGAAAACAATGGCAGCCATATTATCCATACTGCCCTTCTCAAAGGCAGTATTCACTATACAATCAGCTAACGAGTATGAACATGAAGAAGAAATCTCCGATCCTCCGGTGCCATCACTTTTTGCTTCCCACAATATATCACAAACATCCTGTGGACTCAGCTTTTCGAACACACCATCAGATGCAGCTACCAGAAAGCTGTCGTTGGAGGTCAAAGAGTGCCAATCCATAACCTCAGGTACAGATATTACACCAGAACTGCAATCAATTGTACGCATAGCAAATAAACTTCAATGTTTAGAGAGTAAGAGTACTAGACAACATGCTGTTATTTATAACCTCTCTGACATTATCAGATAATGGAGGGTAAAACCGGCAAATATAAGTGATACAAAAGTAGATTACCTCTTAAAGTTTACATCACCAATAGCTCGTGAAACAGCAAGTTGGCCATTTACACGAGCGACACCACCCCCTACGAGAACATGACCACCAGCAGCTTCTACTCGAGACCTTTCATCATCCCTATCTGGATGATGGTCACGAGTTAATTCTTGAACAGAAAGATGGGTCAGACCATACAAAGTATTCAACTTCAAGTCTGAACTTTCCTTTAAAGATAAAGGAGTCCCATCACGTCTTTTCCGCTTGTATAACCTCAAGAAAGTAGCTGAAACAAGCCCATTAATTTGGTGATTTTCAAAATAATAATAGTTAAACTGCAGTATATGTTGTATACAGGCAGATAATCCATGAATAACCTAACACACAATTGCTCAACATAAGATAGCATTCGAAAGCATATAATCACCTCTAGCCTCTGCAGGGGATTGAAATTTTTCAGAGCACAAAAAAGCCTTAGAGTCCCCAACATTGGCAACTAAAAATTGGCCATCTACTGTTAGAACAACTGTGGCTGTGGATCCAGAGCCAAGATTAGATTTGGATGCTTCCTTCATAATTCAACCGAATTGGCGTCAGAGAAGACCCAAAAATGATTCAGATAAAAACTGAAAACATGCAAACCATTCGAAAGACATGCCTTAGAAAATTTTGCATCAATATCCCGAATTGCCCTCAACAGTGCTTCTTTCAAAACATCCAAGTGAGAAGGATAATTATTAATGCCCATTGGTGACAAGACCTTAAATCTGTAAAAGCATGGAAAGCCAGAGTCAATGAAACTCGCCAAGCCCCAATCAAAAAATTTGAAGGTGATAAGCCTAAGCGCTCTCCTTCAATTCAGGGCCTGAAAACTTCCATACATATGATTTTTGGTTCTATGCATTGAACAAGCTGTGGCAAGGCTTCTTAGGCCCATTTGGGACTAAGTGCAGGCATTAAGCAGCCAACTATTTTTCCAGATGGCATACAACAGCCCATGCATTAAGGGTCTTTTAAATTCGTTGCACAGGGAGCTCCATCATATGATTGAGTTTTTAAACAGATATCACATTATAGGTCCACTTGGTCATTCCAATGCCATGAGTATTTTTCCAAATCATCTCAAGAATACCTAAAAAAGCTTGGAGATGCATTGATTCAAAAGCTTTCCACATTCTACCTCTATTCATTTTTCCTTCTAAATTAGATCAATGATTTCATGAATAAATAAAGCCACCTGAAAAGATCTGGCTCTTGCTGACTTAACCCTTCGGCCCAATTAAGAACTTGAAAAGCCACCTCAGGCTCTCCCTTCTCTACCAATCTTCCAGTAAACTTCTTCAATGCAATGGAAAATGTTGAATCCAAAAGAAAATAAGTATGCAAAAGAAAGTATTCAAATAAAAGCTTTGAAGCCATCTCACTAGCTTCTGCTCCATTATGTCCATCAAAGACTGCTATGATTCCAACAGAAACCTCCTCCAGCCCTGATTTACCTGTTTCAGCGATGTATTGTATTCTGTATGTTAGAGGAGCAATCTATAAAAAATAGTATTTAATCAAGTTCACAGCTGATTGTTTTAAACTGAGTACATTACCCCATGTGCCATAATGCTTCCATTAAATCCTGAAACTCCTAACTAATGCATGCATGTAATTGTCTCCATTCACAGAATATTAGGTATTGTTAACACCAATATATTTATTTGACTTAAAGATGGACGAAAGCCTCAGAAAATTACTTCCAGTCTAGAGGATCTCACGAAACTCGTTGTAGAAATTATATCCAGCTGGAGTAAGGTATACTTATCAAGAACCCCCAACACTAGCACATATCTGAGGAAAAAACAACTACAAAACAAATAGTGTAATAGTCCCATCTCCCCCTAATTATAATGATACTCAACCTTACACCGATCAGCCAGTATTAATGTAGAACCTTGGCCTGTTTCATGATTTATGGCCCGGGGCAGTAAATATGGTTTATGAAGAATAAGTAGAACCCTATCCAAAGAACATCTCAGTAATAGCTCATAACGAAGAACCAACTCTCTCGCACGAAGGATAACATAAGAAACACCAGAAATAGGACCTTGATTTTTCCTTTTTCAGAAGTACCTTGATGAGCGCTTTCGTTTCTTTATACTGTAATTAATATTAAAGCCAAGTGAATCAGGAAATGTCTCGCCGACACTGAGTTCATTATTCCTTTTCCAAGGTTCCGCTAGAATTACGTAATTCTCCTCTTTCAATTGTCCTATGTGTCGAATGAGATTCTCTGCAAATCTAAAGGTCAGGCCACATAAGTTCTTGTGAATTGCAATTTTACTCAGTCCCCACCAATTAGACTATGGGGTTGAACTTAGCGTAAAGCTATAGCATCTGCCTAGAGTACAGGGGAGAAAAAGTACATACTGCTCTAATTTTGCTAAATGGCAGCTCACCGTCTCACGCCCTTAAGACCGAAAATCAAGCCAGTCAATTACCCAAGAATCCTTATATTTAGTGTCCATTGCTATTAGGCAAGTCCGGAAACCATCTCACATCACCACTCAAAAACCGAACCAGTTCAACTTCGCGAAAGACCTCAACATTCGCCACACGGAGAATCCCATGCCCCCCTTTTTTACGGAAAATCGACTTCCTTACCGGGGAAAGGAATGCGGACATCGAGCGCGCAGAAGGCGCGATCCTCCTGATATTTCCGGCGGCCCTGGAGCATCGCCACCTGGCAGCGCGTGGCAGGGGGGGCGGCGGCGGCGGCGGCGGCGCGCGGGCGTGAGGAACCGTGGTGGCTCGGGAGCTTCCAGCGGGGGCATTTCGGGGACTGGAAGACGGCCGGCGCCCCGCCCTCCTTGTACACCATCAGGCACGTCGACGACTCCCCGCGGGAACGCCAGGCCGCCGACGCGAGGAGGAGGAACAGCAACGCCGCCCGGAGCTTCGGTTCGCCAGGCGCCGCCTTCATCGCGCCTGAGCCGAGAAGCTCGAAACGGACCGCCGCGTTATCGACGTGGAGAGAGAGTAACGAATCGCTCGAGGATCGTCGCCTTCCCCGCCATGGAGGCAATCGAAATTGACGTGGGAGAATCTGCAGGAAGAAAGAGAGAAACAACGTGAGATCATGAAAGGAGAATTTGCGCCGTTGTCACGTGCGCTCCGATTGGTCGAGCCGGTGTCTCCAAAGCCCGAACGGCGAAATTCGAGCCCGCATCGAGGTCGTTCGGGCCCAATATGTATAATATATAAGCCCGATTAAGAATTCTCAGGCCCGGTGGTAGGGCCCGCGGCTGCCACCACCGATCGATTCTTCTGGCCCGTGGTTGGCATCATAAATGCACCTCTCGCTTTCAAAAACCTAATCTCCAAAAAAAAATAAAATTCTGAACCTACACAATCAATGGCGATGGCTATGATCGTGTTGATGATTTGATCTATATAGACCGAATCTATATAGGATCCTTCTCTTTTCCCATGCGGAGGCGTCACACCCCGTGCCGTTCTCCTATCGATTGCCAAATACTCCTCTTTCCTCTTCTTGTCTTCTTTTTCATTTTGATAGGGAAAAATGACATAAATAGTTCATGAACTTTGATCCAATATAAGATGTCATTTCAGGATTCTTAATTTATTTAATATGATCCGTGAACTATAATAAATGTTCGATCTAGTCTTTATACTACATAACAATGTTCGATGTTATCTTTCCGTTAATTCAAGTTAATAAATCTCTGCCGTGGCTCCCGATCTGTTAAGTTTTAAGGTTGATAACAAAAAAAGTTACACAAGAATTATGCAAGTAAGATATATATCTCAAATTAGAATAAAATAATCCACATTATCAAATTGACAGTGGCAAATAACAATGAATATGTTAACACCCTTTTTTGTCCTTTGCCAAAGTAGATGGAGTAAAAAAAATAAACTTGTTGATTTTATTACTTTTAAGGATCCAATTCGACATATAATAATTAATGTCATTAAATAACGTATGATTTTTCCTTTAAACAAATAGAAGGATTGTGTTGAACATTTATCAATAGTTTAGAAACCACATTGAACAAATTAAAGATTCGGAAACAACATTACACATTGGGCAAAATATGATCATGTAAGTCTCACTAGAGCCTTGGGTTGTTCTCGTAAATATGATCATGCAAGGTTATCGATACTTTATCATATAAGTATTTTGATTTTTTCCACTACTAACAAGTGACATGCCATTCGCAACTCTTTGAAATTTCGAGTTACCCTAATCAACGTATCTTTCCATATTTTAGTTGATTTATCTTGATATTTCGCACAAACATAAACAATTATGAGAAACACACACATCATTGAATTACTTTCTAAAAAATTGCTCGATTTATTGTTAGCGTAGAAAAACCCTCACACATGTCACTTTTGGACGAGCGATATGTGTATTTGTAGCTAGTTTTCTAACCAAATTCTTTCGCAAGTCAGTTGTTTACGTCGAGTAAGCTCAGTGAAACGCCTTACTCTTTTTTCCCTTTATTTTTTTCCTTTTAGTTTGTACATTAAAATATAAATTTTGCATGCCACGTAACAATCCAATGACTGGTTAACACGTGATGTTAATGAAATTCTAGTACGTACTAGAATGATGTAGAAGGATGGCCGTTAATTATATCGAGAATAATATGCACACTCTCCGATCATTAGCTTATGTGTCGCCACCTATGCTTGCATAATTGATTAGTTTATTATGAACCAACTTTGCAATATTATATATTATGTACTGTGTATTGTATATTAAGATTTGATTTGGTAAGTACGAATGTAGGGTGATATGGTCCTAGATTGCATTGCAATTTTCCGACGCAAAGCACAATTAGTTCATGTTCTCACGAACTTGTTCTAATCATGCGAGTCTCGCTTGAAGCTCACGTTGTCCATAATAGTTAATAAATACGAATGTGCAAGGTTATCGGTGCTTTGTCATATAAGTATCTTCCTTTTTCCCACTACTCACAAGTTATATAAACATATCCCTTCGCAGCTCTTTAAAATGTCGAGTTACCCTGATCCATGTATTTTTCCATATTCTAGTTGGTTAATTTAGGTAATAAATCTCGATATTTCGCACAAACATAAAGTATCACATCAATGCATTACTTTCTAGATAATCGCTTGATTTATTGTTAGTGTAGAAAAATAATCACGCATTTACTTTTGGATGAGTGACAGTGTTTGTAGCTAGTTTTCTAACCAAATTCTTTCACGAGTCAGTCGTTTACATTGAGTAGACCCGATGAAACTCCCTACTCTTTTTACCCTTTATTTTTTTTCAATTATCCTTTTAGTCTGTACATTATAAAACAATCCAATGACCGGTAAACACCTAATATCAATGATATTATTCTAGTATGTTCTAGAACGATGTAGAACGATATCGAGAATAGTATGCACGCTCACCGATCATCACCTTACGTGTCGCCACCTGTGCATGCATAATTGATTAATTTATCATGAACCAACTTTCCAATATTATATATCATGTATTATGTATTATATATTAAGATTCAATTTGATATGTACAAATGTAGGGTGATATGGGCCTAGATTGCATTGCAAACTTTTCGGCACGAAGCACAAGGAGAGCCACTTGTCCTGCTCGTGTTAATCACGAAAAATTAGAGTTGCTTGCTACCACTTTATCTTCTTTTGTACCAGATTATAAAAAGATCGGAGAATCACGATATTATTAATCTTTTCAATACACTTTCTAGCAAAATAAATAAAAGAAATCTTTTCGTTGCACCAAAAATCTAATATGGTAAATTACTTAACAGTTTCTTTTTTAATTTTTCAAAATTTTCAGCACTCTATATAAATTTCAATTATCCTAAATATAAGTCCGAATAAAGAAAATTAATCATTTTCAAATCACCATCGTCCCCGTACAGAATATAATCGATGTCTTGGGAAGAGAAACATCTCTTTCGGCTGTAATAAATGTCCAAAGCAATCGCTAATGATGCCCTTTTAAAATATATTATCAATAAAAGCATGTCTTCTTATCCTTTCTTGAAGAGACTGTTCCCGTAAAGTACGATAGAGATTCAAATCATAGGCAAACTATTCTTGCAAATTGGTCGAGGGTTTCTCTACCCACTATCATTATACTTTGATTCGTTATGTTGTCTTCTACGTTTTGTATAATCAACATTGCCTTTGACCATACAGTACCAAGATCATTACGGGTAAGAACCACTTGGTTGGTAAAACAAATTGGGCATAACACGTGGGGACACTACGGGAAAAAGATTATTAGAAAAGGGGAAAAATAATTTAAAGACTTACAAACAATTGAATTTTAAAAGATACCTTGGATCTTGGACAAACCCAAATGCTACCTCAGTGCAGAGTATATACCTAGAGATGATAACACAAATGGTCCTCGAACTTTGACTAAATATATAATGTAATCTTTAAACTTTTAAATTGTTCAATGTGATCCATAAACTTTAGCCTAATATTTAATGTTGTTCTTAAACTTTTAATTGATTTAACGTCGTCCTTGAACTTTTAATATATATTTAATTTAGCCCATGAATTATAGGAAAATGTTCAATATAGTCATTGAACTGAAATTAATGGAAGGATTACATTTAACATTTTCCTATATTTCAGGGACTAAATTGGCGATATTGAATAAATTAAAAGTTCAAGGATCACATTACGTATTGGATTAAAGTTCATGGATCATATTGAATGAATTAAAAGATCGTGGACCACATTGCACATTGGATCAAAGTTCAGAGATTATCTGTGTCGTTTTCCCCATACTATGCATATAAGAGTTGAGTCCAGGCCTCGCCATACTTGAACAGACTTACAATGTGGCCTGTTGTAGCAGAGATCGCGGAGATCCCCCAGCTCAGCCATTTTGGCGAGATAAATGCCTTGGTGCCTTTTCAAGTGACTCATCTCATCATTGGAATTTGCAGATAAATACAAAGCACGCTCAGTGCAATAGGCCTTTTTTTCTTGCCACTGGAGAGGTGGTATCTTCCAAACATTGGACCTTCGCCACAAAGGCTACAAGGCATTGGCTGAGTTTCCTACTCCTTGGGATCCGGGGGTCGGGGTCTCCTCATCGCCGAGGAGACAATTGATGCCTCATGGAGGGGTGCTTCCCTACTTTGGCAAATCACCGCGTCGTTGTGTATTGTCATCATTGCTGTTGTCATCTAATTATTCTTGTGGCTCATAATGTATCGATAATTTTTTTTTCCATTAGTTAATAATTTAGATATTTGGTATTAAATCGACTTTTCATGCTCTTTCAGATGTCAAATTTTCTTCGTACATGCAACTCGTGTGTGCTTTTGCTAGTGTTAATTATATATAACAGAGCAACGTGCGGTTCCTCCAAATATTACGCAAGTCCATATTTTATTTGATTTCGACTAAAATTGCTTGCAAGAAAAAGAGGAAGAAAAATCACACGACCATTAAAATCCACGACGAAAAAAGGATATCCACAAATTCTTTAAATTCTTTTTCCAAATTTTTATAATAAAATCTCCAATTTGCGTTCGCCTTCCTAGAAGCGATCCTATCCGGTCACCGCCCCACGCCTCAAAGTGGGCAGTATTCCTCGACCAATCAGAATCCTCCAAAATCAGCGGCTGGGGCACCAAAACCACCAGTTTTCGTATTTTTCGAGACGCATTTGCCCCCGCACCACTTCTGGCGGATTCCATTTCTACCCCCCCGGATGTTCCAGAACCTTCACTCTTAGACCAACTTGCCTAATGCAGCCATTTCCCGTATTAAAGAAATGCAATCCCACCCCAAAAATATCTAGAACCATCGGACCCAAATACTAATAAAAAATTCATCGATCTATTAAAATTATGGTCGTGCCAACTTGCGCTCGGAAGCAATTATTTATTTATTTATTTATTTATTTCGGATCAGACTCAGAAGCACGTGCTTCCCAATAAAGTAGTTCATTTCATTTTTTAAGTCAGCTCAACAATATCACGAGCACAGTCGGTGTATTTGAATTTGAGTATTTTCGCAATTCTTCAGCAATATAAAAATCAGGATAATACGACCCGTCCGCTCAACCGGATTTCTCTAAGCAAAATCCTCGAATGAATATTTAAAGTACCATGATGATTTTGTGATCGGCGCTAAAAATACAGCCGGATCGATTGGTTAAACGGGTTCGATTGAGTACTTATTTATTTGTCGCATTTGTGTTCATTATTTAATTTGTGCCCGATTTAATTTTTTAATATCGTGAACTAGATTCAGCTTAATGCTCGTCCCTACTAGTGTTGAGCTTTTACCCCAAAGTTCTTGAGAAATGATTGCCAAATACCCTAAATTTTTTCCAATGGCCTTTCAGGCTCCCAAGGGCTTTCAAAATGTCGAACTAAGCTCACTCACAATTTTCTGTTAATAAAATAACGAGCAATATTAATTTTTTTAATCGATCTTAAAGTAATAAATATTACTATTAATAAAAAAAAAGACCCAAATTTGTTCTAAGAAACTTCCTCATTGCATCTTATTTTATTGTGGAATTCGATTAATATCTTCTTCTCCGCCTATTTAAAACCAATCAACCGACTTCGCTCTTCTCTTCTCAACATCTCAAACCCGCTCGAACGCCCCCCCCTTCTTCTTCTTCTTCTTCTTCTTCTTCTTCTCGAAGCAGAGCAACCGCGTGTCCGTACAGTTCGCGAGCCAAAAAATCTCCCGGCGTGTCAAAATCGTCGTCGTCGTCGTCGTCGTCCTTCTTCTTCTTCTTCAATGGTGATTCTTCGATTCTGATCGCTCGTCTCCTCTCTCTCCTCCGGCTGATTCGACGCGAACCGCGGTCGAGTCCTTCGATCGAGTTCGGCTCCGTTCCTCGTCGCCCCTGTTTCGTCGCGAAACCGAGTTTTCCTTCAGCTTCCTTCCCCGTCCCCGCATTGCCAGTGTTGGCCGGAGCCGATTGCCTTCGCACGCAACGCAGTAAGTTTTAGTCGGATGGAATTTCTAATTCGTGTTTTCCGATTTCCTTTCGTGTTCGTCGAGCTAGCTTGGTTCGCGTTTTGCGCGGTAATCAGTGGGCTGGGATAGGAATTCCTGCTCGTTTCCGCTTACCGGAACCTGACTTCCGCTGAATTGCGGGAGATAATATGCGAACGTAGGATTTGTCGATCGCTTGGTAACTCTGATGAAGATGAATCCGCTGTATCCAGTGAAGGAAGAGTTTCCAGGATCGTCGAGCTCGCCAGCCGGAGAGGCGCCGACGGCGATTGGTCCGCCGGAGCCGATGGAAGGCCTGCACGACGTCGGGCCCCCGCCTTTCCTGACGAAGACCTACGACATCGTGGATGATCCGGCGACCGATCACGCCGTCTCTTGGAACGCCGGCGGCGGCGGCGGCGGCAGCTTCGTCGTGTGGGACCCTCACGCCTTCTCTACGCACCTCCTTCCCAGATACTTCAAGCACAACAACTTCTCGAGCTTCGTCAGGCAGCTCAACACTTACGTAAGTATAGGTTCCTCCTCTGAGCATCGTAGAAATGCAATTTTAGTCTGTTGATACTTATCGAGTTCATCTGATAATGGAAGATTGAAAGTATGAATTCTTCTCTCGAAACTGAAATTGTTGATGCGTCCGAGCATTTTTTTTTAGCGAGGATTTGAATTCAATCTCATCTCCGTCGTGCTTCATTCCAATGGTTTCTTGTCTTTTATTTTATTTTATTTGGTCGGTATGGTTTCTTGTCTTTGCTCGGTCGATTCGTGACGGACAAGGAGGTGTGGGTGCATCTGATTTTTTCTCAGGCTGCGGCATGAACTGTGGGTGATTTTGTTATTTTATTTATTTTTTTATTCTCGGTTTTAATGGAGTTCTGACATGGACCGATGTTCTGGAATGTTCTAAATGCTTGGATGGCTGGGAAGAGCCCCACTTCAATTCAAAGGACAGAATAATTTCTTATTGGAACAATACTAAAATGATTATTTCGGGCCGTGCGTTCTTTTTTACCCATTTTCCTCATAATTTTCTGATACCTGTATCTATCTACTATTCCATCCTCCTGTTAAATTGTGACATCCACCTTCTTAGCCATAATAAAACTGAAAATGAAAATGAAATTTCAATCTTTTGTTTGTTTTTTGGTCGGATAAATTTTCAATCTTTAAGTTGCACGAATTTCATTAATTACCTCGAGTTATTAATCATGGTTTTTGATATTTTTGGTGGTTTTTATTCAATAATGATTCGTGAAATAGAGCTAAGCGAGGAACCCAATTTTGGCAGGGCTTCAGGAAGATAGATCCAGATAGGTGGGAGTTCGCCAATGAAGGATTTTTAAGGGGGCAGAAGCATCTGCTCAAGAGCATCAGGAGAAGGAAGGCACCTTCCAGTTTAATTCCTCAGCAGCAAGCTGTGGGTCCTTGCGTCGAAGTGGGATACTTCGGGCCGGACGGGGAAGTCGATCGCCTGAAGCACGACAAGCAGGTCTTAATGCTAGAGCTAGTGAAACTTAGGCAGCAGCAGCAGAACACCAGGGCCTGTCTCCATGCCATGGAGCAGAGGCTTCAGAGGACTGAGATGAAGCAGAAACAGATGATGGCTTTCTTGGCGAGAGCGATGCAAAGCCCAGCGTTTCTGCAGCAACTGTTGCAGCAGAAGGAGAAGAGGAAGGAGCTCGATGAAGCGGTGACCAAGAAAAGGAGGCGGCCGATTGATCGAGGGCCGAGCTGTTCTCAGGCAGCCGAACCTAGACGAGGTCTCGTAGGGACATGTTCTGTTAAGGCCGAGCCGCTCGAGTTTGGAGATTACAGTGTTGAGGTGTCGGAGCTCGAAGCACTAGCACTGGAGATGCAAGGGATAGGAAGGGTGAGGCAAGAGGTGGAGGAAGGACTAGAGGACATAGAGCCGCCGCCCGACGGCGTGGATAAAGATCTTGATGAGGGATTCTGGGAGGAGTTGTTTAGTGAAGGAGGCGAAGATGAAGATGTTGATCTCTTGGCTAACAGACTGGGTTACTTGGGTTCTAGCCCTAAGAAAAGAAGCTGAAGTTTCGGTTCATCAGTTTTCCTGTTCCTCTCTAATTAATTGCGGCTTAACTGTTGATTCTTCCAGGTAGGACTTGTTCTGATAGTGTCTCTTTTGTGCAGTTAGGTTTTTCAGGTATCTGAACCTGATGGATTGGCGGGAACTGATAAATCCTCAAGCAGTGTGCCAGTTCAGTAATAGCTAGTTCCTCCCGGCGTTTCTAACTCTGTAACTAATTGCATAAATTGCTATCATTCGTTTGCTAATTTGATTGCTTAGGTTTGAAAGAAAGATGCTGGCCAGATTCTTCAAGATATGACTCGAATTTGCACCAAAGGTTCTTGTTGATAAAAATGCCTCAAAACCCATTATTTTCTGCATTCTATATGTGAACCAAATCTTCATTTCCTCGTGTAATCAGTTCTGCCCTCCACTTGATGTAGATCTTCAGAAGAAATCACGGTTTAGCTGCGAGATTGAAGAAATGGAATCGCACTGTTGATTTCAAAGCACCACTGATAATTGAGGTCGATGATTTAATTTCACACACTGCTTAGCTAAAATCTTATTCATAAAGGCTGATTTTGGACGAATTACCTGATTAAGTCCTATCATTTACCTGTCTCTGATGAAGCCTTTATGTTGCAAAGTATGGATTCTGTGGTCGTGAGATGGAAGATGATATCTGGTAGTGACAACTCCAGGGTCATTGCATGTGGCTTGTCATGTAAAAGGCAAATCCATGAAATTGCATGCTGCATTTTTTTTTTCTGGCCTTTGACATAAGAATGAACATTGTGACTTTATTGATATGACAGTCCTTCGGACTTTTCCAAACTTAGAGAGGTTTGACAGTGTGCCTAATGTGATGCTGATGTGTAAAAGAAAAACAGAAAAGGCAAGAGAGCAGCAAATTGCCTTTTGAGTTTGAACTAATGCCCCCCTTTTTTGCGAGTGTGTAATCCATAGGAAGCATCACGCCCATGTAATCTTTTACCGTTTTATTGAAATACTACGTATTTTAGCCATCCAACAGATTTTAGTCTGGGCGGTTGTAAGTATTTTGCATTTTACTCCAACGGTGAAAGATTATAAGAACGCAATACCTCCTACGGACAATTACCCCCCTTTTATACTACCTTTCCATCTTTTTCTCAAATTTCGTTGTTCATTCAATTTGATGATTTGCATGTCATTTGTTAAAAATCCGAAATCGCATGTGACTTTATTATAATTGTTTAAAACTTAGCATCGTCTTTTCAAATAACGTTGGTGATATATGACATGGTAAAGATTAATGTGCTGACAATCGTAGTAGGTTTCCTATATGCCTGCTTAGCAAGTAATTAATCTTTTAGAGGCATTCAATATTATAAACTATTTTATTGCAGATAACTGTAAATGTCATGAACTGCCTTTTGTATCAAAGTGTTGAATGTGATGCTAAAAATTAACAGATTTACATGTTTACGAGCGTGGGCTGTGGACCCCTGGCACCACAGGCAGGTCCTTGGATATTTTGTCGAAAATAGTGATTTACGTTCTTCCGAAGAATCATGGTAGTCTTGGTCCTGGACAATTTTGGCCAGAACTCTGAAAAGACTCAAAATTGACCATAAAATTATGTTTTTGATCCCCAATTTGCCTGTCCCGATCCCATTCAAATTGCCATTTAAAATAATATGTGGCAGTCAAAGAGACCAAGGACATTGGATTGTCTCACTGTTTGGCCTTTAGTAAGTTATAATATACTTTTTTTCTAGCAATTAGATGCTCGACAACAACAAAATGACTTGAAAATTGGGTTTGAAACGAGGGCACGTGATCGCTAGGATCTAGATAATTCCATTAGGTTTCGCATTGGAATGGCAAATACTTGTATGGACCTGGGTCCACACGATCGACGGTCATGATATTTTTGGTCGTCCGTTGGCGGGTTTGCAAATAAATATGTCATCGATAGCATCTATAGGAAGCAATAGTATAATCATCTAATAGCTTCATCTATCAAGATTTCCCCATCTCATGGAAGCATTAATGGGAAGCTAGCTGCTCTGCACAATTGCTAAAACCACCCGGGAATAATGACTTCATAGGAAATGGCGGTCTGATGGTGGCCGCAATGTGCTGAACATGAACGGGGAACAAGCTGTAGCGGTCCAAGAAAGCCCTATTCTTACAAAAATAATTGAATGGAATCGTCTCTGTCCTTGGATATCTTGTTGCTAAAACAAAATAAAATAGCGAAAGTCGCAAGTAAAAAATTAAAATTTAAAAGTAGAAATCATTTCAAACAGACATCTCAGTGCGTTACATTGATTCATCAAACCCTTGAGGAACTTGACGCTTCTCAAAGTCGGTGCCTTGGTGGTGAATTGCATCTATCCTTCCATAGCTCTGCTGGGGCGTCATGCTAAAAGGTTTCAATTTTCATGGTCAAGATGTATGCCGAGAGCAAATTTCTTTGACAAAGCTTCTATCCCTGAAAGTTTCACCGGGCACACAATTTTGGTCCATCCTCGATGCTCACCCCCAAATATTTGTCTAAAACATTCCTGAATGCCTGCAATTGCATCAAGAGGCAAAGGACATAGTGAGGCACGGCGAGAGTAACTCATATTTATTTGCCACATAAAACCACAAAAAAATGGATGTTCTCACCAGAATGAATTGAGTTCATAGATATTCAGAGTCCATTAAGGCAGGAAACAGGTCATAGAGTGGTCATTGGAACCGATTTTTTTTTTCTCACGAAAGAAACAATAGAGGTTATCTAAGTAGGATCTTAATAAAGATCAACAGCTACAGATCAAGGACTACCATTGATTTTTTTGCCTAAGTACTGAAAATCAAACGATGAAATCAAAACAAAGAGAATCGCTAGTTTAAGGGAAGATAATAAGCATCTCAACTAATCTGAACAAAGGCAATTGTTTATAAATTACTCATTGCAAGAGATATTTAATCAGAAGTATTCAAACCAACCTATCAACAGAACCATATGGCGGAGCCCACATGGGAGTTTTCTTCTCCCTTTTATTTCGGGCCGATTAATCAAAGTGATGGAAGCCGATGGCTAGCCATTGGACTACATCTATCTATCCTACACAAGCTCATTTAGGGTGAGCGTCATGATTTTGTCAAAAAACTGATAAAACAATTTTTATTGAATCCATGTTTTCAAGCCGGTATCTCCATCCATTCCCCATGTTTCCATCCCCAGGAAGCTTCAATATGTATTTGGTAGCCTCTAGTTAAAGCAGCAAGAGAGGACATTTTAGAGAGAGAATCTTTTGTGCACTTGCCTGTCCATGCACCATCTTAAACGCATAAATCCACTGCACCGTTCTCTCTATCTATGGGGTCCAGCATCAGAGTGCAGGATAAACCTTCGCAATCTGCTTGACATTAGTTGACTACAAAAAATTAATTGGTCTATTTTCAACAAACAGATAAGAACCCCACTCAATCTCCCCTTCCATGGATCACTTCGAGCAAAAGTAATCTCAGACACCTTAGCAACATGATTTGGATTTATAAATATAACCTAAAAATCAGAAGAAAAGAATAGTGGATTCTCCGCATTTTCTTCAAGACTTGCATGTGTGACATCAAACACAACATGCCTTGAACTGAATATAAAGATAAATGATGGCAGAGAATGACAATACAGCAAGATATTTCACGTGAGGGCCTTCATAGCATGTGACAAGGCTGAACTAATTGTCGAGATAAAAGAAGGCGCTGGTGAGGAGGATGAGACAGAAAATCTTCTCTCAACCACACAAACACGGGAACAACACAAAATATCTGGGTGACACATGCATCATAAATCATCCCCATACTTGAGCAGGGAGATGACCATACTCACTTTATGGCAAAATAAGTTACCCATTGAAAATACAAATATTAAGTTCAATAGCGTCCTAGCAGTACCTGCATGGCAAAAGACTCTTTCCCAAGTAAAATTGCATCCATTGCAGCAAATTGATCATCAAGTGCACCATATATGATCTGGTAGAATTTACTCCTGGAACCAGGAAAAAGAAAATATGATGTAGCAAAAAGAAATGAACTTCGCAATATGTTAATGTCTCTGATGAAGCAATCTACCTATCTTCCTCAGAGCTCTCTGCATCAATCTCATCAAATTTTCTTGTTAGGGCCTCTGCACCCACTGGTGAGAGTAAGTGCAGCATAAGCGCCTCTAAAGTCCTTGGGAATTTTTCCTGAAGAGAATAATTGAATGACTAAGCAAAACTGCTGAATGACTCTGAAATAATTTCTTTTCAGAAAGTTCATGGTCAAACATCCTAACGGACATGAGCTGAAGTCACAAAACCATAAAAGGGAGAATTGCTGACAGGGAAGTTGGTAGTTATTCATTCAGAATGATAACACAACAAGGCTCCCTTTTCTCAATAGAAACTTCATGGGAAACTTATAGAATGTTTAGCAAATAAAATGCTTCAAGTAAAATTTAATCATCCATTGAAGAATGAAGAGTATAAAGTAACATGAATGATAGGAAATTCAGTTTGCCATAAGCAGTGTTTTAGCAACAAACATTGACCCAACCTTGGAGTACTCACCGCCATATAAAGAAGCATAGTCCGAAGAGTACGTGGTTCAATGTTCCACAGAATATTGGCAACAGGATCATCTTCCAAGTGAAAAATTATACGATTCTTAGGTGCACCTTCAGCACAGGCAGTGGAGCCATTTCCCCATGAGGGCCGTTGCACCTGACTTGGATCGGGTATATTTACACGGTCATGCACTAGAGAAACCAGAGCATGAAGAGCCTGCAGTGCCGAAGGTTTCATATGACATATTGCGCTTTCTAGCTTGACTTCTTTTCCTTTTATATCACCATCCATGAAAACTTTGTCCATATTATGGATATCCCCATCTGGTAGCAGTATTGCAGAGGACATTCTAAGAAATTGTAGTAGGCATCTTGATGCACTATAGATTCCACATACTATAAGTAGATAGCCTCATCTATGATTCTAATAATACCTGCATCCCCATTAAGGGTTTCATCACTTTCATGTACCTTGCATTCCGCAGAAGCAGGCTTTGGCAACATCAGATCCTGTCCTAAAGCCACATATAGAGACACAACACATCACTGACTCAAACCTCTCATGGAAATTGTGAGAGAAAGCAAAAGAACATTTCCACTTTGCAATATATTTAACAAACTCGAAAACAAGTGGTTCTTGCTAAAATTTAGTTCCACAAGACCCTTCATGTAATCTAGGATAAAAACACCTACAATGTGTCCTGTGATAAAATTTATACATATATGAATGACCAGACTTGAGACCAGTTATGTGTTTTGTCTTGCTAGTGGAATGGGGTGGCCGACCCTAGTGTGATAGTAAAGCTAGTTGCTTAGAAAAAATTTCATAGAGCAGCATAATATGATAATAAATGACCCTCAAATTTCATAGACAACACTCAAGTGTTTTTAAAAAATTGGGTGAAGTAGCAGAGCAGGAGATGGACTTTACCATAATATAATAACAAGAACGAAAACAAGAAATAACGGAAAGGATTTTATTAAACCAAGCTGAATAAATTTTCAAATGGAATATAAAAATTAGATCCTTCCTCAGCAGGTAATCAAAAGCAGTGTAAAACTACATATATCAGACTGGAGTCGGGTGAGCAACAAAGCACACAGGATACGCACCATTTCTTTATCCGTCAATCTGAAAGTCACAAAATATGTTGGAAAGCATGTCAGACGGCAAATTAAACAGAATAAAATGTATCTTAACAGTTAAAAAAGCACTACTGATATGTAAGACTGAAATAAAAGCATACACCTTCTTAGTATTCTGCGCAAATAATATGCATCCATGTGCTCTGACATACTACGCATTAAGTTGGACTGCCACCAAAAATTTACAGCAATGCTCAGATTGTCACTATTGACCTGGTGGAACCTGAAGCAAACAAAGGACAATAACTAACTGGACAACTACCAATAGCACGGAAAAGCATAAATAGTTGTGGTTGATAAAAAGCACAAAGCACATGTCTCCTAAGTGATGAATTGTCATTTTCTTAAGAGGTATTCTAATACAAGAGATGGACCTCTGCTTTTCACAACAGACAAACGTAAGAAGACGGCTAAATGAAATCCCGACCAATGGAAGAGAGAAACAAGAATGTAGGAAATATTTCACTAATTGGAAAACCTATCACCCTTTTTTCTCTTCTTTGTCTCACATGAACTGCAGATAGAATAGCTCAGAACTGCATATGAAACGAAATGCCCCTTAATGTAATTAATTGTATAGCCAACATACCCCTAAATTAGGTTATGGAAGCTATTAACCTTCAAAGGGAGAGATGGAGTGTTTGAAGTATAATGGAGATTTAAATTGAAATTTCAAACTTTTTTTATTAATATTAAGAAAGCATTTCATAAAATCAAGGAAATATCATCTTCTTCGTAAAAGAAAAGGCATTGTTGATAACTTGATACTGAACTATTTATTCACAAAACTTCTGAAGTGTTGGATGAGATGTTTGTGAGAGGGGAGGACAGAGAATCGAAAAAGAGAAGAATAATCACAATAGGCTTGTGATATGTTGAGTGCGAAAAGGGGAGGGAAAGCAGGACAGCAGTCATAGGAAGCAAATTGTATCACATCAGAATAAGAAAATTGGACCGGAAGAGAAACAACGGGGACAGTGGGCAATGCAGTGGTGACGGTAATGCTTAAGAATCTACGTATGATGTGGGCCAACATATCTAAAATTCATTTGAGGAAATCTTTGGAGAGAAAAATTCAGCTAATCCAGGCTGAAAGGAATAGAAATTCCATGGCTTTTTTCCAGCCAAAAGACCAAATGAACATTTGGGATTGGACCTGGAATGAAACAGCTAATCCACAGACTGATAAACAATCCATGGACCCAAACATGTTGTAAGTGCCATAGACTTATTACATCCAGGCAGAGAAAGAGAGAGAGGATGTGATGATGTTTGAATGGGCTCAAATATATACTTCAGATCTTGAGATTTCCATCCACAGTTGATTTAAATTTGTGCGCGCTACAGGCGAAACTAGTTATAGTACTATAATCAAGTGAGATTCAGTAACAATATTAATGGACCAAAAGAAGGGATTGGCTGCATACATGCGGATAAATTAAACTAAAAAGATCAGGTAAATTCAGGGAGACCAATATCAAACAGAAGGACATAACTAGATGCTCCAAGGTCAAAATCTTTACCAGCCTTCTGGAATGAAAAGTGCATCACCCGCTTTTAGAATGACCTTCTGCGAGTGATCCATCAGGTGCTCTGCTCTTGGATGTAATGAAAGATCTGGCTTTCCTAAAGTTAGAGAGCTACAATGAAGATAACATCAACATCGAAACACAAAACCGCTCAAATGACAGCAAAAATAATTTTGACCAGTTAGAGTGACAATAAATGTCCAATCCCGATTACAAATGCTTATTACTGATCCAACATGATACATACCTGTGGTTTGAGGCCTCTCCGTACAAAGGCATGGGGTATAACAAGGAACTTGCAGAAGGGGGCCAGAGAACAACTGAAAACCATGTAGCTTTTGTTAGCACAGAACAGAAATATGGACTTTAACGCATGATCTGATGTCAATGAACAAAGATATAAAAGAAGCATTGGCATTAAGAGGAAGGAGTGAGTAGAAAAAACAAGCGAACGCAATTTCCAAAAAAGAAATTGCATTAAAAACAGATAAACGAGATTATTCTAAAAACCAGTCCTATGCATCAATATTTTCTGCATCCCATGAGTCTAATGTTTGATTACTCGTTCACAGTGCCACAATCTCAGTAGAACCGATAGGTTTACACACAGGAGAAAACAGCATCTAACCTTCTTTGGTGCCATTGACTATGCATAGAAGATTATGATGTGGATCATAGTGAGTACTTGATCTAGCTTCAGCAATATTCATCCATAGATTGACGGATGCCAGTAAACTTTCGTCCAAAAAGGCAGGCTGTACTAAGAAACCAATATCATGCCAAGGACTATGAGTATTTCACAAAGAAGTTGCAGAAAGCATATGACCAACGAGAAGAATACACACTAACCGTTTGAATGTCTTCCAACAGAACTCCCAATTGAGCCCGGCCTTTGTTCTCAACGTTCATGATCGGTACCTATTTGTGTATATGTTTGATTCGGATTACATGCCAAAATATTTGATATCTGCTATAACTTTCAAAGCTTAGGAGATAAAGTCGACCATTGTATCACCGAAAATAAATCAAAAAGCTCCTAAACTCAACTATAACAGAATATCAATTCAAATATCATCTCTTAAGCAAGGCAGAGAGACGATATTTCACCACAAGAAAATATCATTAAAAAAAAGGAGAAGAAGCTGTAAGCTCACAAAGCTGCAACCTGTGCTAGATAGATTTGTTTAGGAGCTACATGGTCTTGCTCGGACCCTTCTGAGTTCCTTTCTCCGGATTCCATGCACTGGGATTGATCATCTTCTTTCTTTTCCATGTGTTGCTTACAAAATCCAATGAAGGACGAAAAGGGTAAAGGAACCTACAGTACCAGGAAATCACTCCGAATTATTTCATTAATCAAAGCCAAGCTGCATGTCCTATCGAGTTCTTCATAGAGAATTGAAGGACTTGCCCTCTCGTGGCTCCTTAGATCACCATAGAAAAACGGCGCAGATCTCGACAGCATAGCCTCCACGGTACAAGGCCCAGCTCTTTCCTACAGCAACATTTGATGACAAAGTCCAAAAATCATGAGTCCTGGCAGCCAGGGAATTCCTACACGGGCCTAAAAGCATGAAACACCGTTCCTCTCTAAGCAGCAACAAGCGTAAGAGCAATACTCGAAGTAGCCACACGCAGACAAGAAGCCAAAACCACAATTCCCACGACATCGAGACCACATTCGCTAGGACACAACCTCCTCCTCGCGCGACAGAAACGTCGCCGGAAACCGATTCAGCTCCGGCGAACGCGAAACGAATCTTCACCGGCCACGCTTCAAAACCTCGACGATTCCCGAACCGACAGAGAGAGCGAGGAAGGCGAACCTGCAAATAATCGAGGCCTCCGTCGCGAGGGTTCCACTTCCGCAGAGCCTCCCAGCCCTTGGCGCATCCGGCGAACACCTTTCGTTACGCAAAAGGAACGGGGAACGGAGAAACGGCCGACGATCAGTGCGAGTTTCGAGGGGCAACGCTTAAAAGAGAGAGGATGTCGGAGCAGGAGGAGGAGAGGTGAATTTACAGCGGGAACGTTGCTCGGCTCGATTTGGGAGGCGAAGCCCGTCGCCGAAGGAAGCTCGTCGAAGGTTCGGATTTGCAGAGACTCCGCTTCCTTCGCCATCTCCACTTTTTCTCGTTCGAGGCTTGCCGGAAGAGAGAGACCTCCGCGCGCCCGCGCGCGAGCCGGTCGAGTTTATGTCAACGGAATGGAAGCGAGCCGCGAGTGTGTTTGGGTGCGAAACGGTTTAATGGTTTGGTCTTGGTGGTGCACTGCACTTTATTCGACCGGCGTAATTGTTACGAAAACGAGCGTATTAATAAGCTCGGGTCCATCGAGGCCGGGTCTGGAGCCCAAATGCCGATGCCCCGACCCCGGCGCCCTAAGCGAGATCCGTCGAGGTCTGGGGCTCGAGATTTTAGTATCTGTGCTCGATTCTTCGGCTGTACATACATAAGTTACTATCGGTCAAATAGTATACTTCCATTTTGTTCAAAGCGGAATTCGGTTTTTATCTTCTTCTTTTTTCGGGATTTTGTTTTTTTCTTTCCGAAGATTCGGGAAAAAAAACAAAAAAACAAAATCCCGCATCTTCGATTTTGTGCGTATTTCTCCGTTTATTACGGCTGAAGCAGGGTGCAACTGGCGGGCCTTTTAGAGAAAGCCCGGACAAGGCCCGAGAAAGGTTCCAAGGGTGTCCACTTTGTCATCGGAATGCTTTTTGGTCGAAGCGAAAATAAGCTCGCATCGAAATGAGCAGAAATTAGTGCCCCTTTTTCGTTTCCTCTTTTTGCTTTTGCTGTTACGAAAATTGAGAGAAAGATCACCAAAAAAATTGAAAATCCAAATAGGAAGAGAGAGGGAGAACTGATGACAGAAGCGAGAGAGAGAGAGCGAGATCGGGATTGAGCCAACCCTGATCTACTGGTGGCTTGGTGGCTTTGGCCTTGTGCAGTCACCACCGTTTGCGACCCTATCACCGTCGTCGTGAAAATTTTGATTTTTCACGTGATTTCAACCAAGTCGCCTTCCATGTTCACTAATTGCTACCGTCAATACATCCAATTGCTTCATTGAGCTGAATAACATGAGCTTGTAATTAACTAAGACATTAAAGTGATTAAATGTTATTGATTGATTGGACCAGTGGAATGCCAAGACCCTTTAGTCCGTAATCACCTTGTGTGGCCCTTTACAACGGTTAAAAGGGATCCCCAATCACCACGATTGGGCTGGCAATGTTTAAAAGAAAGTACACCAATTGCTTCCTTGCGTGCTTTGGAGAGCCTCCAAGTTACCTCAATGAATTTCTTTCATCCACCAACAAAATCATCGTAATTCTAGTTCGCCATATTGGGTATCCTCGTTCAATTATGAAGTGACAGTCCCCACGAAGCTCATCCAAATGAAAGTGGACAAAGAACAAGAGTTTGAAACTTTGTGAATATATAATCCTTCTTTAAAATGGCATTGTCTAACATGGTCGGACGGCCATTCACCTCGAGAGGCTCAAAAAGTAAATGAACGGAATTGGACCAAGGCCCAGCCTGGCCGAGCCCAATAAATATAATGCACTTCCTACGTTTGGGCGAGTTTGGTTTTCGTCCAACCCATTCAATGATCACCTCCAATTCCAACAATAGTAATTTTTTTTTCACAGTCCTACTTTCAAGTGCCGAAAACAAAATTTTCTAAAAAATAAAGATGGGTTTAAGAACAATTTCGCTAGAGTCTATTGGGCCTAGAGGAGCTGATGAACAACGGTACGAAGTGTCTTTCTTCACTGTATAGGCGATATGAAGATCAGAGAAAGATGCTTTCTAAGAATAGAAACTTCTTTTAAATGCTGTATCGAAATGAAAAAACAGAAGGGTTATCTCTTACTTCCAACAGGGTTACTTGTGTTAACAATTTCTTGCAGAAATTTCAGCCAGCAACGACAGGACGTTAACAGAACAAAAGAACAGAAAGGATAAGACATTAACCTTTCGGACCATGGGTTCATACGAAACAAGGTTACTTGTTTGGATCGACATTTGACCATGACTTGGTTTGAAACTCGTGAGTTTCCATCGACACCAAGTCAATCATCTGAAATGCCGAATCAACATTTGACCGGGATTTGGTTTGAGACTCGAGAGATTCATCTACGCCAAGTCAAATCATCTAATCCAATTGGCTCACCTCAATTAAATTATGAACGAGCTCGAACTCTTCCATTATGCAAGTTCGTGGTTTGTACTTAGCTTGACCTTTCTTTTTCGCAACAAAAAAAAAATACCAAAAGCAGGTGAGCATTACTACACTTTTCATGGTCAAACGGCGCGGGATTGGCAAAAGCATGAAAAGTAAGAGATTGCGGTCGGAAAGCAAAGTAATGCACGTATTCCCCGAGCAGTCATGTGGGGGAATTTTGGTTCTGGATTAAGCCTACTAAGTTTTGCAAATCGGGAAGGACCATTGCGTTACATTAGATGTTGGGTTTTGGCCATTGATTATTTCCCGTAGATGATGTTAAACTCGGGTTAAAATGAGAGTGCCCATCTCCAATCTTTTTAACACGTCCTAATTTGTGTCATATATATGCATATTTGCTCGACTTTAGGTCGTCACGATCTTGGGCGCAACTTTAGCACAATTGAAGGATTCGGTATCAACATGGATCGACTTCATTAATTTCGAGTTGGGATAGAGTACATTAATTTTACATTATGGGGCGTCGAATCACCTTATGTGCGTACACATTACTTAAATTGTTGCATATTTGATCACGATGTGGATCGATGTGAATCCGAATTCCTAAATTCAATATCGAAATCAGGTCGATGTTGTCTTGGCATGCCACATCATGTCGAGAATGTCAATAACACGATGCATCTCTAGACAGTTAGATACAGAATAAAAAAAGAAGAAGAAGATGGAGCAGTTGAGCTCGCTCGTTTGTGAGGTTGATTAAAAGGGTCAACGCATAAGCATCATCGTAGCAAATTAGCACACGAGGTGCATATCCAACGACGCATTCAACGGGACCCGAGTGACGGGGACGGGGCATAGGGACATGCCCTTTTTTTCTCCCACGCCGCAGTACTTCACGGCTAGCTCTAAACCGCCTCACCATGCTTCGAAATATCGTAATTTGAGAAATTGACATCTCCGCGGTCACCAAATGTAGTACGATGTGTGCATTAAGGTGTGGTTCGTACTCCCCATCGATAGGAAGATAGGAGGGTCCACCGGGCGATCATATGATTTTTATAGTTTAGGTTCATATTTTATTGGTAGTTTATGCTTGGGCCTATAAACAAATGCCGTCTATGCATAACCTCTTTTTCTTGTAATTGAGAGTTACAATAGAGAGGTGGGGGTGCTAATTATAGTAAAATCCTCTGTTGAATTTAGTCATAGTTTAAGGGCGAATCAGGATAAAACTGCGTGTCTTGATTCTCTTTCTTACATTTGCTCTCTATCTCGTTATGTTTGTACGCCTAATTTTAACGATATGGCAACACGAATTCCTGCACCTAAAACACTGGAGTTTCCTTCGGCGTACCCCAACGCTACGTAGAGATTTGGATCAGATCGGTGAAAAGTAGCTAAAGAGCTAACGGTTGGTCAAATGGTTTCGTCCGCGAGGGAGACTCCTCAACGATGTAGATCCTCAATGATGTTTCCGAGATAGATGAAGTGGGGACGGGGGGTGTATAATTTTCTTTTCCTGATTTGGATTCACTTCATTTAAAATGAATTCGACTAATTACATCCAAATCGCTCAAGATCACATTCCGCATAAGAAATGACGATGTCCCTCTCTAATAGCTCACGCCCTTTCGACATAAAAATACATAAATAGCACGCGCCTTACGTGAGAAAAAGTTAATTCGATGAATTTAGATAAACAAGCTTAAGTTTTTTTGTGAAATAAGAAGGATTCGACGTACCAAAGATTAGAAATATCTAATTTCTAATTCGGTGTTAAGAAATTAAGGAAACATGATTTAATGTGCTAGAGGTTTAACTTTCTTTTGAATACAAGTTTATCCCTCTCTTAAAATATCGTGCATTTGCTATTCACTGAACAACAAATTGGGTATTTATGATAGCAAAGTATCTCGCGTCGCTTATATGCGTGATGCATATCCTCCTCATATACAGGTGATCTCGCTATAGCATGAGCTCGATTTATGAATTCAAGTTTTTAGATTAGACTTTTTAATACACGGGATTTATCAAAAAAGGGCATTGGGTAAATTAGCTTCGCATTGCAATGGAAAAAACAACTTTAATTGACGTCACAGCCATACATGTGTCCTCATCTTATTAATTAGCAGAAAAATTGACCGTAGATTTGGAAATACGGCACGTGGTCTATGAGCCTAGTCCGAGTCCATACCAATTCGCAATAAAATAAAATAAAATCGATATTAATTTTGCGATTTGTGCGTAGTTAGTGCGTACTCGATCTAGATTTACGACGACTTAAATGGAAACTCCCCCGGTGGACTGGGCTTGCACGTTCACACGTGCTGGAGCCCCTTGCTTTGACAGCTTCATGAGCCTTCACGTTCAAGCCCGAGTCTCGTCCTTACCTAACTCATTCTCTAAAGTCAATTAGCGTATCATGATTCGCTAATTGGATTCGTGAATTACAAAAGCGTGTACAGCTTTGGTTCGAGGCGGCTCGCGATCGTCCGACCCACATCTCGCGTGTCGCATCATGTGAGAGGTACGCGTTTTGCTTTTGGGATGACGACCGGGACGAGTTTGGGACTACCAATCCTGTCCCCGAAACCTAAGAACTCGTCTCAAACCCGAGTCGGATTTTAAGGAGGAGTTCCAAACCTTCTTCACTTTAGTATACGGGATTTGGAATTTTCCTTTCAATTCAAATAAGTATATACACTATCTTAAAAGAATATTTTATATAATTACCAAAATAGTAAGTGCACTTTGAGTGAATAGTACACGCATAATAACTTCATGTGTATAATTTTTCGATTTGATGTCAATGTCAACATCACTGTGTTTATTGCAACATTTATTGTTAGGGCTAACTAATGGAAGGACAACACGAACATCGAATTAAAAGATTACAAATCTAATCAGAGAAATCAAGCATTCATAAATGGTACTGTACGTTATAAAAGAGTTTGTGAATCTAATTGAATCGATCCAAAGGTCGGGGGGGTCATCTACACGCAACGATAAGAAGAAAAGTTTGTCCAAAAGTGCGCGCAGGCCTAAGATTTTGACTCGAGATCATGCACATGGATGGCTTTGACTTGATCGGGATTTAACTTAATTTTCCATTTCATGTCATGCTCTTGAAGTTGTCTAATTATTAGGCATCGTGTCGGAATCCCTGTACACCTAACTTACTCTCCCATTCCCAAGTGTCATCAGATGATTTTTACGTTGACATTGGCCTGATGCTTCGCAGCTAATTTTCAGTAATGCCCTTTTCTACTTTACCATCGGATTGGACTAAAAGCAAAAATAAAAAAAAGAAACTTTACCATCCGTGGTTGGTATATGGATAAAATACGAATGCACATGTACACAAAAAAAAATCGGGAAAATTATAAAAAAAAAAGTTATAAATCTATTGCATTGATATCAATTCAATCCTAAACCTTTTAATTGGACCAACTTAGTATTGAACATTTTCACATTGATATCAATACAGTCTATCCGATCAATTTAGGTCGGAAATTGTTAACGTGGACGCCGCCCTTCTTACATGGCATTGACGGTGCTAATGTAGATATTTTTTAAAAAAAATTAAATACTTTATTTCGAATTTTTTAATTAAAAAGTTCTTTTTTTTTCATTTCCTTTATATATTCTCTATTCCTTTTTTCTTTTTTCCATATTACCCTCCATCTGCCACTAGCCGGTAGAGGTTGCCAGCCATCGGTGAGGGTGAGGGCCGTGACACCCTTGGCAGCCGACGACTGGAGGAGGGTAATAAGGCAAAAAGAAAGAAAGAAAGAGAAAAGGAAAGAAAAAATAATGAAAATTTTAACAAAGTATTTATCTTTTTTTAAAAAAATATCCACAACAGCGTCGGTCGTGCCACGTAAGATGATCGATATCTACGTCAGCAATTTCTGATCTAAATTGACCAGATGAATTGAATTGGTAAAAATGTAGAAAGATTTAGGACTAAATTAGTTAAAATTAATAAAATGTTTATGACCAAATTGCTACCAATGCAATAGGTTTAAGATTTTTTTGATACTTTTCCAATAAAATGCGACACCTAGTAAATAATAAACATTCAAATTAGTTTGAAATCACGTCAAATAATCACGTGTTACTAAATAATGGACAGAAAAAAAATAATTTCAAAAGGTCAATAGAACTTTCCTCTCATCTAATCGTCCTTGGAATTCCTTAGAAATTATGATTTCAAATAAAATATTCTGCCCACAATTTGAATAGTTGACAATTGCACTTTTTTTGGATTCGGTTTTCATCTTTTTCGTGCTTTATGGGCTAATTATAAGAATAAAAAGAAGAGAACGGAGCGAACAGTAGCGTGTTTTTATGAGGAACTAGTTTCGATTTCCACCCAATGAGCAAAAGAAATCTTTGAAAGTAATCGCGTATAAAGAGAGATCTTTGAAAGTTTCGATTTCCACCCATTCTTTTCCTTTTATGACGTGGCGGTCCGCTTCAAATTAGCAAAATTATATATTTATAGATTCCTCTCCTTCTTGTTTTAATTATGGAAAACGGATGCCCATCGTGATTTTGATGATGAGATAGGAGTGTCGAAAACCAAATCGAAAATTGGAACCGAACCGAATCCGAATTTCATGCATTTGCGGTTCGGATAATGAAAAAATAGTCGTTCTTTTTTCCAATTTGGTCTGAAATTTTCAATAAAAACTAAACGCTCTTTTTCACTCCCTCTCAAAATCGTCACGAGAAATCCTAATATCCAATTTTTTCGTCCGAATTGTACGGTTCGGTTCGTATTTTGGTTCGGTCCGAGGTTCAGTTTCATTCAAGCGTGCAACTGAACAGTTCGGTTCGGAATTTTTCAAAAGATCAAAATCGAAGCGAACCGTTGGCACCGTCCATTGGGATGGGATGACTAGAAGCTCCTAATTTCCCCCCTTTTTTTTTCTTTTTTATATTCATATATTTCCCTTTTTAGTCGGGGGAGTATTCAGTTTATGCTCACCACGTTTCGTTAATCATTGTTAAAGCGCACCATCATGGCACCACAGTTCTCAGCCAGACCTAACTACCCTAAATTGGCGGGAAAATTGGAACCCCTTTAGACAGGGAGAGAGAGAGAGAGGGTTTCCCGCTGAATTAAAGACCAAAGCAGGGGCGGCTCGTGACATGCGGCCAAGCGAAAGGGTGGAAAGTTCTCCTCCCACATCAATTTAATAATTGAGGTTTAGCATCGAGTTTGACATTTATAAATGGACGAGAGTTGGGCGACCAGTTACGAGACGGGGACAATTTTGCAGGTAAAAAGCAATTGCTCTTCTTTTTTTTTTTGTCATTATTATTACATACGTGAAATTTTGAGCTTGTTTCCCAATTTTAATAGGGCTAATTCCCTCGAAAAACCCTAAACTCTAGGTTCGATCTCGATTTTGTCCCGAACATTTTTTGTCTGAAAAGAATACCCGATTTCCCCTCTAATCCCGAATCTGCCCGCGCGTCTGAAAATGGCCAACGGTTTCTTCGAAATTATCAATATCGGGAGGCTGGTGTTGGGTTCCTACGAAGGTTATGTCGATAATGGATAGGCGTGTTTTGATAACGAAACCTTGATTGGCCTCGATATTGATAGTCTTGAAGGAACTAGTGACAAATTTTGGATGCATAAACAACTTTGGGATAATAGTGAAAATTGGGGATCTTTTTTCAGACAAAAAGGTTCCGGCAGAATTACAATGGGACCTAAAATTGAGGTTTTTTTTAAGGGAATTAGGTTGAGAAACATGTCTTGATGTGTTCGTTTAACTTGGCGATTATGCGGCTAGTTGGAATTTAACAGATTTTGTATTTGGATTTTAACGTCTCCCTCTCGGAGTAACTTCCATGACCATGTGTTGTCGCTTTGTTGGTGGAGTCATGCTCAACGCATGCGGATAAGACTGTTTTTGTATACATATTTTTGAATATCAAGAGCCGGAAAGTTCTTTTATCCCGTGTTATGAAAACTTTGGTCAAATACATGACTATGAAGAGAAGAAGTAAGTACTAGGATTGTCCAAATACTCTCTCGGAGCGATAAGCTCAGACGAACGTCCCTTCATCTATTCATGTGATTGTTCACAAATATATTAAAGGTGCCCGTTACATACTAGATATACTCATGAATAATGGGTATAGAACTTCTTGCGATTCTTCGCTTGAGATCAACGATAATGACATTGTAAATTCTCGGATAAGTGGATAATCACGTCTTGAGATTTTGGACGATGTTCGGCTGAGGACTTCAGATTTTATTTTGGTCAATCGAAAGCATGAGTTTTGAAGAAGCCACGATCAGGCTTTGAGCTCATCATCGCCGGAGTCCAGGCGCAAGAAAACAACACGCGATGACTAATCAAATATATATAGTTTATATACTCACCAACTATACTGAATTTAAAATCAGGTCGAAGCCGGTCCGTGCTTTTTTAAAGTAAATCATTGTTCGCGAATGTTGAAAAAGCATGTCCGAAGGATTTTAGAGATGCAATAGTCCCTCATTTTTCACTTTTAGGGAAGCCACGTGGCTTTACTTTGTCGCCAAGTAAGTAAAAACAAAAGCATCAGCACTCACTGAATGCACGCTCCAAGTAGCACGTCACGAGAAAAGTAAAGCAAAGTGAAAAACCACAATAAATGAAAGACCCTTAAAGCAAAGGACTCATCTAACAGGCATCCCCGGCACATTTTCGATGGCACAAATGCAAGCGAGATCAAGAGAATTCGCTTCAAATTGTATTGATATGCCTATATTTTTCGGGTATTTAATGTCGTGCGTACCAATGTTGCAAAACGAAAGGTCCGCTTTTCCGAAGACAATCCGAAGAAATTTTGGCCGCTGTGATATCAAATTTGATTAGATACGAATACTCTTATATCTAATCTCTTGTTGGACAAAAGAAAAAAAAATGGTCTATCATATATATATATCTAGTTTGATACCTAATTATCTGTATCCCAGCCAACCTCGACCCTATTGGGCGTAGCTATCTTACACAACTACAACTTACAAAAAGGGGCACTATAACTTTTTGGTGAATTGCCTGCGGCCACTGGATCCTTATGGCCACAATAACTCGTGATGGTTTTCACGGAATTGCCTCATCTGGCTTCGAACACGTGCTTATAAAATACGCATCGTAAATACAAAATACAGGCATATAAATACACGGATCACGGTACTTCTCATGATTTTTATACGGTATAATTATACCAGACGGACGCACGCCGCCCACCGCCGTCTCCCCTCGAAGACGTCATAAAGAAACTCAGACAAAGCCCGAGAGAGAAACAGGGGAGAAAAGAAGAAGAGAGAGGCGATCACGTCCGGAGCCTTGACCGTCAATCTCGAGACTCCACGTGGCGGCCCGAGGGGAGGGGGAGGTGGATCCCAGATGACGTGGACGACAGGCGGGCCCCACCGGGAGGAGCTAAAGCCTCCCCAAACCAAAGCGCGTACATCTCTCAAATTTTCCTCCCCCCTCCCTAGAGAGAGAAAATATATTAAAAAATAGCCTTTTTTCCTCCCCCCCCCTTCGTCGTCGCCTTTGGATATTAGAGCGAGAAAACGAAGGCGCGGAGAGAAGGCCGTCCGAAAACAGGCGCAAACAAGCAGAAGAAGAAGAGCGAGGAGAAGAAGAGAGAGAAAGTAGAGAGAGAGAGAGAGAGAGCTGGACTTCTCTGCATTTTGCCTCGTCCATGGTTTCCTCCTTCCTTCCTTTCTCCTCGTCTTCCAACGGAAGTCGCGTTTCCGTTCAGCTCCCCGCCTCCTGATTCCTAGGGCTCAGGGAAAACGGAACATCTCTCGAGAAAATCGGGAAAGAAAAACCAAAAAAGAATAAGAAAATCTCGCCGGAACATTTCTCGAGAAAATCGGGGGCGCGGCTGGAATCGCGGATCAGCGAGCTCCGGGGCGAGGACGAGGGGGGGGAACCGGATCTCGCCGCGCCGATTCCGATCCCGCTTCCGATCGGACGCCGGCGTCCGAGCTTCGGCTCCGCGCCGCATTGGTTTTGACTTTTCCGCCCTTTCTTAATTTGGGGGATCGTTCCTCCGGGCCGTCGCCCGAGCTTTCGGGAGATCGGGGGGGAATTCGAGCGGTTCGGGGGAGATCCGGTCGTTTTTCCCGTCCGGCGGATGAGAAGAGCGGGGAAGGGAGCCGAGTGATTGGGGAGGAGGCGTTCGATCGACAATGAAATGGGTTACATTGCTTAAGGACATCAAGGAGAAGGTCGGGTTAACGCAATCTCCGACTTCGACCGCCTCGTCTTCCTCCCCGGCGTCCGCCGGCCGCAATGATCTCCACGGCGCCCCTCCCGTCCGCTATGACTATGCTTCCTCTCCTGCGAGGTAAGCTACTCCGTTCGCATGCTTCATTCGTTCGGCATTTTTGCTGTTCTGTCTCGAGCGATTTCGATCGCTTCAACGCGGTCAAAGAAGTCTCCTTGTTGATCTGTTCTTCCCCATCTTCATCACTAGCAGTTCTTTTCACTTTAGCTTGACGGGGTGGTTTTAACGGATCCTGAGGTTGTTTGGTGGTCAGACTCATTTTGGGTAGGGAGAGTCTGTTTAGCTCGCCAGAGGGAATACAAGAATAGTATCTGATTGTTTGTCTAAGTGAAGTGAAAAAGGGCCTGTTGTATGTTTTTCGTATCACATAATCTCTTCATCTGCTAAAATAGGTTTGCTCATCTATACCTTTTCCACTTTGCTGATTTTACCCTTTTCCTTGCGGGAATTAGAAATTTCTGTTGTATATATAGTAACATTATAGTGGAGATTACACATCTTGCTTTAGAACTATAAATAGGAGTCGAGTGAGAGATTATTGTAGGTTGTCTTATGACATTGGAAAATGCAATACTGTCTCCCAAATCTATTGATAGCGAGTTGCCCTCGACGGTGGACCGAGGCTGGCACGAATATTGGACCACCATAAGAGTGGTATTCTTCTACTGGTTTTTGGTTCTTGTCCAGCCGTATGTGTAAATGAATGCTTTGATTATTGATGAGATAACTATGAACTGAGATACTTGCTTTATTAGAGTTGCCAAAAGGCATGCTCCTGCGGCGAAACTTAAGTGCTTTTGAAGCAGGAAAGTAGAGCAGACTATCATGGTGGGTCTGATGATTTGTCATATTAAGGAGAACATGATACGCACGCGTGTGATTTGACAGGGCAACTCTCCCACACCCCCCCAAAAGAACTGCAGACAATTATTCCTGTTACTTGATTGATGATGAACACCTCATGTTGCGATGTATAATGTGCTCCAAAACCATGACTTCCTCTCTGAAACCTGCTAAAATTTTCAGTTTGCATCTCTATTAATTGTCCGAGTGACTATTGTTGAGACTTGCTTGGTTGTCCCTAAATTTCCGCGAGCTAAATACTGTTTTGCGTCGGTGTGGTACCTGATAATCTCAGATGGATGTTGAGATTTGCTTATCTTGATTTCTTCATTTATGGTTAATGGCAAATAGTGTACCTTTCAAATCAGGGTTTAACTAGATGTCTTATCACATCAATATGTTTGTTATCCCTTTTCCTGGTGCATTAGAAGAAAAAAGGTGGGGGGTTGCGGTTTCCGTTTGGTTGTGTGGGGTGCTTATGGATCTTTATCAATTAAAGTTTTTTGCACTTGTAGCATGGTCATCGTGTTAGTTTATGAGATTTATATATGACGTTCCTTTCTATTGTTGGTTCTTCCTTTTGAAAACAGGGACAAACATGAGCTGGAATTGGACTTTAAAAGATTTTGGGAAGAGTTCCGCTCATCCAGCTCGGAAAAGGTCATTTGATCGTTTTAAATTCTTCCGCCGTTCCTTTTATTTATTTATTTATTTATAGAAAATTCGTTATTCCAATCCTCGCTATTATTTCATTGTGCTAATTTTTTTTTTTCAATTGTTGCCACAGGAGAAAGAAGCAGCGTTGAATTTGACTGTAGATGCTTTTTGTAGATTAGTGAAGCAGCATGCTAACATAGCACAGTTAGTTACCATGTATGAACCAGCACTGCCCTACATTTCTATTTTTTTTCCCGACAGTATACTTTGGCTGGTTGATTTGTTTTATTTTCTTGTCATGTTGATCAATGTTCACAATTGGTTTGATGAACGGTTGCATTCATTGTCAATTAAACTCTGGTGGTCCTTTTTGAGGTCACAGTTATGATGTTGTCAGAAATTCTTAGTTTTAGGTTAGTCAACTATTGTTAATCGAGCATTCATCCAAACTCACTGGCATTTCAAGTTCCTTCACAATCTCATGGAAGCATTATTTGAGGACATCAAAATCTTATTTTTCTTTTTGCTTGTGGGGACATGATGGTTATTTTGGCAACATGATGAGTAATATATTTATGTCCATTTCAAAACAAATTCTCCCTTTTCTGTTCTTGTATAATAGTTTCTATGGTGATTTCCTGCTGTTGTTTCCATGTTATTCCTAGTTCTGAGTATTATGATTGCCTTACTCCTTCTCTCCACGTAACAAGCTTGTTACATTTATGACAGGTTAGTTGAAACACACATCTTCTCATTTGTTGTGGGAAGAGCATTTGTCACGGATATTGAAAAGTTGAAAATTAGCAGCAAAACGAGATCCTTGAATGTGGTAGACATTTTAAGGTTCTTTTCAGAAGTTACACAGGTTGGCCGGATGGATCCTAATGTCGTGTTCATTGTTCCTTTAAACGATTTTTCCCATGTCAAGTTGCAGCGTTGTAATGCCATTTTCGCGTAATTTATTGCAGGAGAGCATCTCTCCTGGGGCAAACTTGTTAACTGCAGTTGAAGTACTTGTTTCTGGGGTACATATTTTTGCAACTGTTTTGCACTTTTGCATTTTCTTACTCACATAACTGATGCATTTCAAAATTTTTCTGATCATGGCTAGTTCTTCCTTGTTTGATCTTGTATGGCGCAGTTTTTTTATTTTTTTTCCTTTTCTTTCTTTTGAAGCTTCTCTGCGCAACTAAGATGTAGCAACAGAGTCGGGGTTGAGTTTAAATGTCTGCTTTAGACTATAAGCAGTCTGTTTAATTATGTTGCAATGTTAAGTGTGAAGTTTGATTCGTTCCTTTCATAGCATTTGAGATAGCGTTTAGGTAAGATAAACCCTTTCTCCTTCCTCTTTTCATTTTCTGTTGAATTATCTGCAGCCAGTCGACAAGCAATCACTTCTTGATTCTGGGATCCTTTGTTGCCTCATTCACGTTCTCAATGCCCTTTTGGGTCCTGATAGAGCTGATGAATGGTCGAAGGTGATTGTTGGAGAAGCTGAAAAGGATCAAGATAAGGACTTAAGGCAAGTCCGGCGGCTTGAGGTAAATTTACTTTCATTTCTTGTTCTTTTATAATGGTGCATATACTAGCTGTGCAGTTGTTACAAACTTTGATGGTTGCTCGTTATGTCCCTCCCTAGTGTGGCTTAGAGTGACCTGCAGTCATGGATATTTCGATTTACGCAGCTTTTGTGTGAATTAGTTCTAAGCAACAGTAATCTCATGAAACTTCTTGTTTGTCGGGGCCTTAGTTATTAGACCTCAATAAGGATCGTTGATACTGTTTCTCTCACTACACATTTTGCTCATGCTAAACAAACTTTAAATTGCTTTGATTTGATATCTATGATGAATGTGTATGTGCTGTTAAGTAATGCATGCATTTAGTCTATCAGAATGAGAGGAATGCTCAGATGCTGCATTCTCTATGTATCCTATAAAATAAAATAAGTGATTGAAGACTTCACTCAGCTTCTTTTTTCTTGTTCTGATCGTCACATACTGTTAAGGCTAGGGGAAAAAACCACATCATTCTCTTATAGCAGTTTTTAGAACAAATGTGTTCGCACTTGGCTTATGTTGGTTTCGCCACTGGGTTTTAATTCTTCACTACCTCAATTAATGATTTATCTCGTGTCGCTTCATGTTCATCTTATTTCCTCCATTCGATGCATCTTATCTCCTCTGCCCTGGTCAGATGACTAAATACACACACAAATCAGAAGAAAAAAGTAATGTGGATTTTCGGATGCATGGAAGAAAAGGTGGTGTTGAGCTCTGACAGATTTGCTCTCTTTTTTTTGATGAATACAAACAAGCTGGAGATTGGTGCTAATTTATGGTTAACTTAAACTGAGTTTCATGGCGAACACTTTCTAGGTGAGGGATGGCACTGTTATCATTTTGGTTAGGGGGTGTAACAAGTAGATGATAAATTGTTGGATGATAAAAACAAGTTAAGCGAATGCGAGATGACACCAAACACATGCTTCTGTCAAAAGTAAATAATGAATACATATGTATAGATTAACAGTGATTATGAGGAATTTATTGGAAGCGAGAAAGCTATGTACTATGTGCCAGAATTTTGTTTAGGCTTCAGTTAGCCACGTGGTGAAATAATTTTCACATATATATATACCAAGGCTGCTAGTCAATTTGGAATATCGAACGAGTACATGCACTATTGTAGTGTCGGTTATCTAATCAGCCTGTTAGCTCTTACTCTTTTTGCTAGCTGAGGGTAATCTGGTTATGCTTGTTTATATTTATAATTGCACAAATTTTTTCCTGTACAAATTCTTCAAATGTTCACTTAATGTAATTTGAAATTCATGCGTCTTGATATGCTCTAGCAATTTTTGGCTATTTTTTATGTTGTGTGGTGGGCCAGTGAATCCAAGATGAATCTTCTTTAGCGCAAGCAGTTCGCTGAAGTTGCAGTGTAATCAGAAAGTATCTGACTTTCTCAAGAAAGTGATAAAATTCGAGTTTAAGTTGCATTATACGACCGCCTTCGTTTGCTTTGAAACGGTGGTATTTTGAAGGTTTGCTGCTTGCATGTATCCTTTCTATGTCTCAAAAGAAATTTTTTTTGTCCTGCACTGCTCAGATGGATGTGGTTGCAGGTAGAGGGAAGTGTCGTGCACATTATGAAAGCATTGGCAAACCATCCTTCAGCAGCCCAGAGTTTGATTGAGGATGACTCATTACAGTTGCTTTTTCATATGGTGGCCAATGGTTCTCTGAAAGTCTTTTCTCAGTTTAAGGAAGGTCTTCTTCCCCTTCACAGCCTACAGCTTCATAGACATGCTATGCAGGTAACTGCTTAACTATTTCTGGTATATCTGCTACACTGCCGCGTTAAGGACTTTAAAAAAGCTCATATATATATGATATGGTAGATTTTCCCTCTCAATATTATTGATCTTATGAATGGTTTTATGTTGTGCTAGATACTGGGTCTGCTTCTGGTCAATGATAATGGATCCACTGCCAAATATATTCGAAAGCATCATTTGGTATACTCATTTCTTCCTTATTTATTTTTGGCTGAAAATTGGTAGCATTCTCCTTACCTGTTATTGAGCAACCTTCTTTGTCCTGAATTTCAGTCCCTGTTTCTTAAATGGACGTTTGGAAATAATCCCCATTCAGTTTGGTTTCTGGTTTGATCGTGATGTCTAAAAGGATGTTTTTCTTTTATTGTTTAGAAAAAATATTAAGAATGCGCCTGTTAAATGACAATCTACTTGTTGCTTGTGCACTCTTATGATATTATATAATCTGTACTGGAGAGTGTGAAGCACAAATTCAATTTCTAAGCGGTTCTCCAAGAATGGAGAATGATGACAACTTTTATCATGTTGTTGAAAACATATAAAAATTTGGAGAACCTACTCCATATGCTTCTATAAGTGGAGTTGATCGTTGACAGAGAGGGCGTTTCCCTTTTCTTAGTAGGGAATTGACACCACGTGAATTTTTAATCTGCCTATAGTACATGTATACTTTTAGAACTTTTGTAGATACTTCTGACCTCATTAGTCTATTTGGTGTTGTCTTTATGAAGAATTTGAGACTGGAAACTCAACCTCCTTATATATTGGGAAGTTCAAATCACAGCAAAGAAAGTCCAAAACTTAAAATTGAGTTTCGATTTTGTTGATTCTATTAATTTTCTCTTTAGATTCCTTTTCATATTAGTATAGTCCAACATAGCATACGAATATAAGATCTGGATTCTCTCAATTAATAGACTCAACTCACCATCATACGTGATTTAGAAATGAGTCATGATCTCTAGATTTTTTTTTTTTGAAAAAAACAAACAAAATCATGATCTCAAGAGTTAATGTAGTCAATTTACTCTGCCTAAATTGAGGGGATAAAATAACTATAACAACAAGAAGCCCTATTTCACTAAGTGGGTCGACTATATGAATCCTATAATGAGATTATGCTCAATTCTGTATAAGATGCTTGTAAGCTCTAAATACTCCATATCTTTCTTTATCATCTCCTTTGACGTCCTTCTAGGTCTTCCCATTATATTTTCAACCTGTGTCTGTATCCCCTGTTGGATCACCTTGCTGGAGCCTTCAGAGGTCTTCAATCAACATGATTAAATCATCTAAAATGCTTCTCATATCTTCTCCTCGATTAGACCAAGACCTACTTTATTGAGGGGTCCATATCAACTGGTCCTTCTGTCCTTAACTGATTGCTCCACCCACAACATATTCAGGCTCCATCCCTAATTGTTGATATGCATTACCCAACCTTTCTCGAGTTGTCTGTTTGATTATGTCTCAGCTGGCTTATATCCAGTATCATGATTGCTTGCATGCAGATAAAAGTTCTCTTGATGGCTGTGAAGGATTTCAATCCCGACTCTGGTGATTCTGCTTACACGATGGGCATTGTGGACTTGTTACTTGAATGTGTAGAACTGTCATACAGACCTGGTACGTTATTCTTAATTAATCTTTTGATTCAAGAGTTGTTAGTTGAATCTGTAGAACTGTCATACAGACCTGTTACTTCATTTGCAGCATTAGTTTATTGTTTCAGTTCTGGCTCTTTGTTCACTGCTTTCTGACTAATTTTCGATGCACTCTCTGACTTACAGAGGCTGGAGGAATCAGGCTAAGAGAGGATATCCACAATGCTCATGGTTATCCCTTCCTTGCTCAGTTTGCATTGGTTATGTCTAGCATGCACAAAGGTCGGAGTACTGAGCCAACCTATGCAAAGTCATATTCTGACAAGGATTATACTTCGGACGGTTCCCATGCACTTTTAGATAGACATGACCTTGCCAATAAAGAGGATTCTGCACAGGGAAATCTGTCCCCAGCCCTCTCAAGATTACTAGATGTTCTTGTTAATCTAGCTCAAACTGGACCTACTGAAGCAATGGTATCTTCTGGAGGGAAAGGACCCAAATCTTCTCATTTGAAAAGTACAGCACACAACAGGAGCCGCACATCCTCTTTTGACCGAGTTGCTGATGTGGTGAGAGACAATAAAGTTAAGGACCTTGACGCAATCCAGGTACTGCAGGAAATCTTTCTCAAAGCAGACAATGGGGAATTACAGGAGGAAGTACTAAACAGAATGTTTAAAATATTCTCAAGCCATTTGGAAAACTACAAGTTATGTCAACAATTACGCACAGTTCCACTCTTCATCCAAAACATGGCCGGTTTTCCTCCGTCTTTTCAGGAGATAATTTTGAAAATTCTTGAGTATGCAGTAACAGTTGCAAATTGTGTTCCTGAGCAAGAATTACTTTCACTGAGCTGCCTATTGCAGCAGCCAATAACACCAGAATTAAAGCAGACGGTTCTTTCCTTCTTTGTGAAACTTTTGTCCTTTGATCAACAATACAAGAAAGTCTTGCGAGAAGTAGGTGTGTTGGCGGTTCTGCTAGATGACCTTAAGCAGCACAAGTATCTTCTGGGTCCAGACCAACATAGTGGGAACACCAAGAACCTGGAGAAAAAGTCAAGCTCTAGCAGCTTCCAGAAGCATTTGGACAGTAAAGATGTCATTATATCTTCACCAAAGTTGTTGGAATCTGGTTCTGGGAAGTTTCCTATTTTTGACATTGAGGGCACAATCGCAATTGCATGGGACTGTTTGGTATCTCTGCTAAAGAAAGCTGAAACTAACCAAGCAGCATTCCGTACTGCGGATGGTGTGCCCTCCATTCTTCCTTTTCTGGCATCTGATATTCATCGTCCGGGGGCCCTCAGGGTGCTGTCATGTTTGGTCATTGAAGATATCTCGCAGGTTTGCTGTCATTCATATTTGTCATCATAATTTCTTTTTTCTTTACTGTTTCTTTGTCTATTTTAATCGTCTTCAAGATAAAATGATAGCCACCTGCATTTTGGTGAAATGGTTGGCATGCTCTTGTATTCAAAAGTAAGGGTTCTCAAAAGAACTGGATTTCTCTTTTGGTATGCAAGTAACTGTTAGCTACAGAAGATGGGAATGAATGGTTTATTCATGTCGAATTTTTCGTCTTACCCAAAAGAAAGAACTCCCTTTTGCTACCATGGTCTTGACAAAATTTGGTAAATTGTCAATTAGCCAGTCCTTTCAATGAATTTATGTTTGATTTACTTAATAGTTTCTTATCACTCAAAGAAAGCACATACATCGGGAATCCGACAAGACTGACTGGGAGCAAAACTCATGGGGTGATGAGGGCAATTTGTCAATTATTTCTCAATTATCTGTTATACATTTCTGTTTTTTTATATATATATCTTTGCTTATAGCTTTATTGATGGTATTGCACTTTCAATATCATCACAATAGTTTGCATGTACAATCGAAACCGCACTCTTATATACCTATTTGTTTTTGTTGGGCATCAGTAAAGTAATGATTGGCTTTTGATCTCTGGCAGGCTCATTCTGAAGAGCTGAGCGCGGTTGTTGATGTCCTCAAGAGTGGAATGGTTACCAGTGTTTCAGGAAGTCAATACAGACTGACAGATGATGCAAAATGTGACACTATGGGGACCGTGTGGCGCATCCTTGGAGCAAATGAATCAGCTCAGAGGGTTTTTGGTGAAGCAACTGGATTTTCACTTCTTCTAACAGTGCTTCATGATTTCAGAAGTGAAGAAGGAAACACAAATCCTTCTTTAAAAACTTATATCAAGGTCTTTACGTATTTGTTGCGGGTTGTGACAGCAGGAGTGTGTGATAATGCAGTCAATAGAATCAAACTGCATACGGTTATATCGTCCCAAACTTTCTTTGATCTTCTATCAGAATCAAGCTTGCTGTGTGTTGAGTGTGAGAAGCAAGTAATACAATTGTTGCTGGAACTTGCACTAGAAATTGTGCTGCCACCATTTTTTACTTCTGAAACTGCAAGATCATCTGAGTTGACTGAAAGTGAATCTGCGAATTTTCTCTTTGTAACCCCGTCTGGTATATTGGACATCAACGAGAAACGAGTGTACAATGCTGGTGCAGTCAGAGTTCTCATTCGTTCGCTGTTGCTCTTTACACCAAAGGTGCAGTTGGAAGTGCTAAACCTTATTGAAAAGCTTGCTCGTGCTGGCTCCTTTAATCAAGAAAATCTAACGTCTGTAGGTGCGAGTAGTACCCTGTATTTTTAGCTTTTTTAAAAATATTCAGTCTTTTCTTGCTATTGACCTCTCTTTTATCTTGTTAGGATGTGTGGAACTGTTGTTGGAGACTATTCATCCGTTCATATCGGGCTCATCTCCTTTACTTTCATATGCTTTGAAGATTGTGGAAGTTCTCGGGGCATACAGGTGGGCATCATTCAGTTTTTAAGTTTTCTGAAATGTATTCTTGATGTATGTTATGTCTGAGTTTAACAAAGGGTGCGAATTTGTGTAAGCAGGTTATCTGCCTCAGAAGTCCGAGCGCTTGTTACATACATTCTCCAGACGAGACTGATGAATTCTGGTCATATTCTTGTTGATATGATGGAAAAGTTAATTCTTCTGGAAGATATGGCCTCAGAGAATGTTTCACTGGCACCGTTTGTGGAGTTGGATATGAAGAAAGTTGGGCATGCATCTATTCAGGTGTCACTAGGAGAAAGATCATGGCCTCCTGCTGCTGGCTATTCATTTGTTTGTTGGTTTCAGTATAAAAACTTCTTAAAATCTCAGGCAAAGGAAACGGAACTTTCAAGAGCTGGTCCTTTTAGAAAGCGAGGCTCAAATATGCAGCGGAATGAAAGGCAAATCTTCCGGATATTTTCTGTTGGTGCTGCTAACAATGAGAACACCTTTTATGCTGAGCTTTACATTCAGGAGGATGGTGTCCTAACCCTTTCCACAAGCAACTCTAGCTCTTTATCCTTTTCTGGTTTAGAACTGGAAGAAGGAAGATGGCATCATCTTGCAGTTGTACATAGCAAACCAAATGCTCTTGCCGGTCTATTTCAAGCCAGCATTGCATGTGTATATCTTAATGGGAAACTTAGGCATACAGGGAAACTGGGATATTCCCCTTCTCCGGCTGGGAAGTCTTTGCAGGTTACAATCGGGACTCCTGGTAGTCATGCAAGGGTTTGTGACTTGACATGGAAACTGCGTTCCTGTTACCTTTTCGAGGAGGTGCTCACACCTGGTTGTGTCTGTTTTATGTATATCCTTGGTAGAGGTTATAGAGGGCTATACCAAGACACAGAACTTTTGCGATTTGTTCCTAACCAGGCCTGCGGTGGTGGTAGTATGGCTATTTTAGACTCATTAGATGCTGAGTTGCCTTTGGCTTCAAGTACCCAGAGGCTTGATGGTGCTGCAAAGCAGGGAGAGTCCAAGGCAGATCGTAGCGGGATCGTTTGGGATTTAGACAGGTTAGGGAATCTCTCACTCCAGCTATCTGGGAAGAAGCTAATATTCGCATTCGATGGAACCTGTACGGAAGCTATTCGAACTAGTGGGCCTCTGTCGATGCTCAATCTTGTCGACCCTATGTCAGCTGCTGCTTCTCCCATAGGTGGTATGTGTTGGTTTTACATTTTGTACGTGAAATAGTAGGTTTGGATTATTCACTGTATATGATTCCATTTTCTTCATCTGATTGGATTTTCCTAGTGCTGGTGTTTTGTAGGTATACCACGATTCGGGCGGCTGCATGGAGATATCTATATCTGCAGGCAGTGTGTGATTGGTGATGCTATACGTCCTGTTGGTGGTATGACTGTTATTCTGGCCCTTATCGAATCTGCTGAAACCCGGGACATGCTGCATATGGCACTTACTTTATTAGCTTGTGCACTTCATCAAAACCCTCAGAATGTACAAGACATGCAGAAGTGCAGGGGATATCATTTATTAGCTCTCTTTCTGCATCGCAGGATGTCATTATTTGAAATGCAATCCCTTGAGATCTTTTTCGAAATAGCTGCATGTGAAGCTTCTTTTTCTGAACCAAAGAAGGTGAAACCTGCTCGAAACAGTTTGTCACCTGCCGCGATTATACAGGAAGCAAGTTTTGAGGATCTAAATCTGTCGAAGTTCCGCGATGAAGTTTCTTCCATTGGGTCACATGGAGATATGGACGATTTCTCAGCACAAAAAGATTCAATTAGCCATATCTCAGAGTTAGAAAGTGCCGATATGCCCGAAAATTCAAATTGCATTGTCTTGTCCAATGCAGATATGGTTGAACATGTGCTGTTGGACTGGACATTGTGGGTTACTGCCCCTGTTTCCATTCAAATTGCATTACTTGGATTTCTTGAGCATCTAGTGTCAATGCATTGGTATCGGAATCATAACCTCACTATTTTGCGCCGAATCAACCTGGTCCAGCATTTGCTGGTGACTCTGCAACGAGGTGATGTTGAGGTGCCAGTTTTGGAGAAGTTGGTTGTATTGCTTGGAGTCATTCTGGAAGATGGTTTTCTGTCATCTGAATTGGAGCATGTGGTTAGATTTGTGATTATGACATTCGATCCTCCTGAATTGACCCCACGGCAGCAAATTGTGCGAGAGTCAATGGGGAAGCATGTCATTGTTAGGAATATGCTGCTTGAGATGCTTATTGATTTACAGGTGACTATAAAATCAGAAGAATTGCTGGAACAATGGCATAAGACTGTCTCCTCTAAATTGATAACATACTTTCTAGATGAAGCTGTTCATCCAACAAGTATGAGGTGGATTATGACTCTTCTTGGTGTGTGTCTCGCTTCTTCTCCCACATTTGCACTAAAGTTCCGTACAAGTGGAGGCTATCAAGGTTTGGCACGGGTGCTTCAAAGTTTCTATGATTCGCCAGACATATATTATATTTTGTTCTGTCTCATGTTTGGAAAGCCTGTTTATCCGAGATTACCAGAAGTTCGTATGCTGGACTTTCATGCTCTTATACCTGGTGATGGAAGTTTTGTGGAGTTGAAATTTATGGAACTCTTGGAATCTGTTATTGCTATGGCCAAGTCAACATTTGATAGATTGAGTATGCAATCAATGCTTGCCCATCAAACTGGCAACCTCTCAGAGTTTGCTACTGGCCTTGTGGCAGAACTTTTCGAGGGAAATGCTGATATGGCTGGAGAGCTTCAAGGTGAAGCTCTTATGCACAAGACATATGCTGCGCGTTTAATGGGTGGGGAGGCATCAGCTCCTGCTGCTGCGACTTCAGTTCTGAGATTCATGGTTGACCTTGCAAAAATGTGTCCTCCATTTTCTGCTGTTTGTAGACGAGCAGAATTTCTCGAGAGCTGTGTTGACCTTTACTTTTCTTGTGTTAGGTTAGTCTCAAGATCCTTTCTTATTTATTTGTTCCTGAGCATGATATGCCAGGAGGACTGGTTTGTGTTACCTCACATTCTACTACATTCCTAATTGCAAATCTAGAAACCAAGCAACTGTGGTTTTGCTTATTTGATACAGTTTCTGCACTGAACTAAAAATTCCTTTTGTTTTCTGCTGGCAGGGCTGCATATGCAGTGAAGATGGCGAAAGAGCTCTCATTTAAGACTGAAGAGAAACACTTAAATGATGGTGACGATACCAGTAGCTCACACAATACATTTTCTAGCTTGCCTCATGAGCAGGAGCAATCAGCTAAAACCTCCATAAGTATCGGAAGCTTCCCTCAAGCCCAAATAAGTTCAAGTTCTGAGGAAACACCTATTCCTTGCAATTATACAGCCGATAATAGTGCTGAAATCAAGATCTCCACATCCCATCAGGATTCAAGCAGATCAATCCTCAAAGATGACCAGGCTGTTCAAAGCCTTGATGGTGAGATTGTTGAACCGGGGTCACCAACCTCTAGTACAAATGCCCCAACCTTCCATGATGTTAAGACTGCGGAGTCTAATGCTCATTCCGTAGATATCCAGGATTCTGCGCCTCCAACTGCAATTAATTCTCCCAGTTTATCTGAGAAATCTAACTTCAAAATTGCGTTGACTCCCTCTTCATCTCCAGTTATTGCATTGACATCATGGTTGGGAAGTACAAGCCACAACGAGGCCAAGAGTCCTCTTGTTGCTACTCCATCCATGGAATCCTCTCTCTCTGCTAGTGATTTTGATATGTCTTCTGAATTTAAGTCCAGTTCTCACAGTTCAACCGCTGCCAATTCCTTCTTTTCAGTTACTTCAAGGATTCTTTTTGAAATTGATGATGCTGGTTATGGTGGTGGTCCCTGTTCTGCTGGAGCAACTGCTGTTCTAGATTTTATGGCAGAAGTTCTATCTGATTTTATGACTGAGCAGACCAAAGCAGCCCAGATTGTTGAAACAATTTTGGAAAATGTACCTCTTTATGTTGATGCTGAATGTATGCTAGCATTTCAAGGTCTGTGCCTATGTAGACTGATGATTTTCCTTGAAAGACGTCTTGTACGTGATGATGAGGAAGATGACAAGAAGCTTGATAAGATCCGCTGGTCATCTAACTTAGACTCATTATGCTATATAATTGTGGACCGAGTATATATGGGTGCTTTTCCACAGCCTGCTGCTATATGGAAAACTCTAGAATTCTTGTTATCGATGTTACAGTTGGCAAATAAAGATGGACGAATTGAAGAAGCAACTCCTACTGGAAAGGGTCTCCTATCAATTGGCAGGGGAAGCAGACAACTTGAGGCTTACATTCATTCAATCCTCAAGAATACAAATCGGATGATAATGTACTGTTTCCTACCATCGTTCTTGGTCATGATAGGGGAAGATGATCTTCTTTCACGCTTAGGTCTACTTGTTGAGTCTAAAAAGGGATTATCTTCGAGTTCGGCCCAGGAAGACTCTGGAATTAATATTTGCACTGTCTTGCAGTTGTTGGTTGCACACAGGCAAATCATCTTCTGCCCCAACAATGTAGATACAGATCTAAACTGCTGTCTCTGTGTCAATCTGATCTCTCTTCTTCAAGATCAAAGACGAAATGTGCAAAATATGGCAGTCGATGTCATCAAATATCTATTGGTGCATCGCAGGGCTGCACTAGAAGACATGCTTGTCTCTAAACAAAATCAAGGACTGCACCTGGATTTACTACATGGTGGTTTTGACAGATTATTGACAGGAAGCTTACCGGCATTCTTTGGGTGGCTTCAGAGTTCAGAGCAGCTTGTCAACAAAGTTCTAGAACAGTGTGCTGCCATTATGTGGGTGCAATATATTGCTGGATCAGCGAAATTTCCTGGTGTAAGAATTAAAGGCATGGATGGTCGTCGTAAGAAGGAGATGGGAAGAAGATATCGGGAAACATCGAAGCTGGACTTGAGACACTGGGACCAGATAAATGAACGGAGATATGCATTGGAACTGGTTCGTGATTCTATGTCTACAGAGCTTAGAGTTGTTCGTCAAGATAAGTATGGATGGGTTCTTCATGCTGAGAGTGAGTGGGAGGCCCACCTCCAACAACTTGTTCATGAACGAGGCATATTCCCTATGCATAAATCATCTGATGAAGGAGAGCCAGAGTGGCAGCTTTGTCCCATTGAAGGACCATATCGGACGCGCAAAAAGCTGGAGCGGTCCCACTTGAAAATCGATTGCATCCAGAATGTTCTTAATAATCAGTGTGAGCTGGCCAAATCAAAGAATGAGAATGGTCCCAGTGCTTCTGATACTGATTCAGAACCATTTTTTAACCAGTTGACTGAGGGTGGAAATAAGAATGATGTTGATGGGGAGCTATATCATGAATATTCCATTAAAGAGGCAGATGATGTGAAGGATGTGGCCTCCCTAAGGAATGGATGGAATGATGACAGAGCTAGCAGCTTGAATGAAGGTAGTCTTCATTCAGCCCTTGAGTTTGGTGCAAAATCTAGTGCACTGTCTGCGACAATTACAGAGAGCAATCAAGGAAGATCTGACCTAGGATCTCCAAGGCAATCTTTGTCTACGAAAATTGACGACGCCAAAACTATGGAGGATAGGTCAGAGAAGGAATTGCATGATAATGGAGAATACTTAATCAGACCTTACTTGGAGCCGTTTGAAAAAATACGATTCAGATATAATTGTGAACGAGTTGTTGGTCTTGATAAACATGATGGAATATTTCTGATAGGTGAACTGTGCTTATATGTGATTGAGAACTTCTATATCGATGACTCTGGGTATATCTGTGAAAAAGAATGCGAAGATGAACTCTCTGTCATTGATCAGGCTTTGGGGGTAAAGAAGGATGTCACTGGTGGGATGGACTTCCAATCCAAGTCCACTTCTTCTTGGGGCACTGCTGTCAAGGCTTTGGTTGGTGGAAGAGCATGGGCTTATAATGGTGGTGCGTGGGGGAAGGAGAAGGTCTGTACAAGCGGTAATCTGCCTCATCCCTGGCGAATGTGGAAACTTCATAGTGTTCATGAAATTTTGAAGCGTGATTACCAGCTGCGTCCTGTTGCTATTGAGTTATTCAGCATGGATGGATGTAATGATCTCCTTGTATTTCACAAAAAGGAAAGGGAAGAGGTGTTCAAAAATTTGGTAGCCATGAATCTGCCAAGAAACAGCATGTATGGTTCTTATCTCCTGTTGGTGCCACATCCAAAACATTGGTTCTCTGTCATTATTTCTTGGCATTTGGCATGACTTTAATCTTTGCTATGGATATCTAGGAGATGCATATCTTTTTGCCTGCATGAGAGAGCACATACATTGGTTCACACATTTCCAGTTTTAAACTGGTGTTGGCTTGGAGCATGTCCTTTACAAATTAGATGCTCCTTTGTCAATATCATTTGATTTACCTCTGGCAGTCTAGCACACGATAGTGTATCACAAGGGACAGGAAGTCAGTTTTAAATGCTTTTTTGTCCATTATGATTATAATAGTGGGTTTTGGACTTATGACATAACAAAAGAAAATTAGTCAGTTCTGGATTTAGTTCTGTCATTGTTTAGAAGACATGCTGTGTATTGTCCAAGATAGACTTGGGAGATGTTTCATATCATATATCTGAATTTCATGCAGTGTGCTGTCTATTCTGAACTTCTGAAGTTTTTCAACTGTTACTTCTATAACATGAGCTTTTGATCTTGATACTTATCGCCCTCCCATTTGCCTCAGGTTGGACACAACCATTTCAGGATCAGCAAAGCAAGATAGTAACGAGGGCAGCCGTCTTTTTAAGATGATGGCTAAGTCTTTTTCAAAAAGGTGGCAAAATGGAGAGATTAGCAATTTCCAGTATCTGATGCATCTGAACACCCTCGCAGGTCGTGGATACAGTGACCTCACACAATATCCAGTGTTCCCCTGGGTGCTTGCAGATTATGAGAGTGAAACTCTAGACTTTTCAAACCCCAAGACATTTCGTAAGCTTGACAAACCTATGGGATGTCAGACACTGGAAGGGGAAGACGAATTTAGGAAAAGGTAAACACATAAAGGAAGTGTAATATTAGATTTTTAACAACACTCTAAGGCTGCTAGTAGATGCTGATCGACTCACTGATCACTCTATAGTCTGTTCGGGGGTGTCTTAGGATTTTGTCTCTTTTAGATCTTAGTTGTTGTTTTTAACTGTCTTATTTGAGAATATTCTGTTGATGCCCCCTTAAACAGGCATTAGTTTCTGTTACTTTTAATGTGCACCTAAACTTGTCATCTTGAGATGAACCCTCTCTAGTCGAAAAGAAAGGAAAAAGAAAAGGTATTAGGAATCAATTTATAAGCTTGAAAATGACTGCAGGACATTTTCGTTAGCTACTTAGAAATGCAGGTAGATCCATCGAACCGCCCTTCTCTAGAGATTTTGCAACTATTATGTATTATTCTAGTTGAGCTAGTGCAATCCTGCTTATCCATTTGTGTTCTGTGTCTACTGCAGATATGATAGTTGGGATGATCCAGAGGTCCCGAAGTTTCATTATGGTTCTCATTATTCAAGTGCTGGAATTGTCCTTTTCTACCTTCTTCGTTTGCCACCTTTCAGTGCTGAAAATCAGAAGCTACAAGGTGGCCAATTCGATCATGCAGATCGTCTCTTCAATAGTATAAAAGACACTTGGCTGAGTGCTGCTGGGAAGGGTAACACATCAGATGTGAAGGAACTTATTCCCGAATTCTTTTACATGCCTGAGTTCATGGAAAATCGCTTCAATCTCGACTTGGGACTCAAACAATCTGGAGAGCAGGTCTGTCTTGGATTCTATATTGGATTATTACCTCATTTTCTGTTTTACCTTTTAGATGAGCAAGTGGGTTTCTACTATATCAAAAAGAAAACCAGATCTCTACTGCGTACATACTCCCTTTTCTTGCTTTCCAGTGATTATGAGAATAAGGTGGTTATCTTTCAGGTAGGTGATGTTGTCTTGCCTCCTTGGGCTAATGGAAGTGCGAGGGAATTCATCAGGAAGCACAGAGAAGCGTTAGAATCTGATTATGTTTCAGAAAACCTGCACCACTGGATAGACCTCATCTTTGGATATAAACAACGGGGCAAGGTAGGTCTCAGGAACTTTCATTTCGCAGTGAAATCTGTGTTACTATTTCCCCTGCCAGTGATCATATACAAATGAAATGCGACTTGATAGTCTGCTAAAATGAATTAGATACAAATGTTCCTTTCAGTTAGTTTTTAGTTTCTCATACTTACAGCTGCTCTGTTGACAGGCCGCTGAAGAAGCTGTTAATGTATTCTACCATTATACATATGAGGGTAGTGTTGATATTGATTCAGTTACAGACCCTGCCATGAAAGCCTCCATCTTAGCACAAATTAATCACTTTGGCCAGACACCGAAGCAGCTTTTCCTGAAACCCCATGTAAAAAGAAAAGTTGACAGAAAACTTCCTCCGCATCCGCTAAAGCATTCCGCTCATCTTGTTGCCCGCGAAGTTCGCAAAACATCACATGTGATAACTCAAATTGTTACCCTCAATGAGAAAATTCTGGTAGCTGGAGCCAATACGTTGCTTAAACCCAAAACTTACACCAAATATGTTATATGGGGTTTCCCGGACCGTAGCTTGAGATTTATGAGTTATGACCAGGACAGACTTCTCTCTACTCATGAGAATCTTCATGGTGGCAACCAAATTCAGTGTGTGAGTTCGAGTCATGATGGTCAAACTCTAGTCACTGGGGCAGATGATGGCTTAATTTCAGTTTGGAGAATAAGTAAAGATGGACCCCGCATGACACGTCAATTGCAGTTGGAGAAGGCACTTTCTGCTCACACAAGCAAGGTGACTTGCCTTTATGTCAGCCAACCATACATGCTGATCGTGAGTGGATCAGATGACTGCAGCGTCATTATATGGGACCTCAGCACATTGGTCTTTGTCAGGCAATTGCCTGAGTTCCCAACTGCTGTATCGGCAATTTATGTAAATGACCTCACCGGGGAGATTGTAACAGCGGCGGGAGTGCTGCTTGCTGTTTGGAGTATCAATGGGGATTGTCTCGCTTCGGTGAACGCATCACAACTGCCATCCGACTTTATTCTGTGTGTAACCAGTTGCACATTTTCAGATTGGCTGGACACAAACTGGTACGTGACTGGTCATCAAAGCGGTGCTGTGAAAGTTTGGCAAATGATTCATTGCTCTGACCTAGAGGCCGAGGAGAGCAAGTCGAAGGGTTATAGGGCCGGAGGGTTTAATATGGGTGATAGGTCGTCAGAGTACAGATTGGTGCTGCGCAAAGTTCTCAAGTTTCATAAGCATCCAGTAACTGCCCTCCACCTCACCAGTGATCTGAAGCAGTTGTTAAGTGGGGATTCCGATGGGCATTTGTCGTCATGGACGATACCTGATGAAATAGTGAGATCTTCGTTTAATAGGGGGTAGTGTGCAAAAATTGGACGATTCCCGATCGTTTTTCCTCAAGTGGCAAATCGATTCTTTGATGATACTCCTAGGGTGAGTGCGATCCCACGGTGGAGGAGTCTTACGTCCACACGATCTGCAGAGTGTCGAACAAGGGACTGACCCGCCATTCAATTGAAGAGAGCAAAACTGAGCCTTAAGACAGCCTCTCGGCATGGATCGGCAAATGAGCGGACGATCCTGAGATGTGGTAAGGTCCTGGAATCGATAGTACGCGGTGCAATTTTTGAGTGAGGCATGGGATGTTTGTGATTTTGCTGGTGAACATCCGGGGAGTGATTTATCCGATGTAAATAGATGAGTTCTTTGACAACGAGCATTGTGTTGTACAGCAAAGATAGTGTGCCTGTAACAGTTTATGACAATTCATTCATATTGGAAAGAATTGGTGAGAGTTCTTAAATTCGTTAACGGTAATCTTTTCACATTTCCATTTTGGCGAAGAAGCGCCATTGGGGGTCTCGAGCCCCCCATTTCTATTTTGTTGTGAACAGTTGAATCTATTTCTCTTTTCCCACTTGACTTTGCAGTGTTATTTTTCGTCTTGCATTCTTTTCCTCGTAAATCCCCTTCATCACGTTTATGGAAGACTGATGAGCCATATGAACATATGCATAAATTATCTCTTAAGGGTCTGTTTACTTTGCCTTCTTAATATTGTCTTCACTGTTCTGTCCAACGAAGCAATCAAGAATCACATGACATGAGCCCACTGTCATCAATAACGAAAACTATTGCCCTTGGTAACCCGTCGATCAGAAGATAATTGAGGGAAAACGTGTCTAGGGACCATCTTGGATGCACCCGGTTGCCTGCATCCCCAGTGCATCCCGGCCCTTTTAGATCACATGTGTCCCCGCTAATATCAAGGGTCTATAGATGCGTTGGTGTCACATGAATCCGAATCATCTAAGAATTCTTCCAAAATATAAAAACATACCTTCAGGATATAATTATAACTTTAATAAATAGCAAGTCCTTATCTTTTTCTTTTTGACAACTATTTCCAAAAAAACTTGCCGAAAGAGTGAACTCAAAACTAGAAAAGCTTTTCCGCAAAACCGAGCAATGCCATTAGTAGCTCTGGAGATCTTCTTGCTCGGAACATGCGGGACCCACCAAGATAAGAATTTCCCGCTCATCTCCCCCCCCGCACCCCTGTTTACTGGGTCGCGAGCAGAACAAAGAAAGCTCGTGCTCGTCCATGCTTCATCGTTCGCAGCGCCTTCTCTTCCTCCCCATGCACGTACCCGAGCATGAAGACGTCGGCGTCCATCCCAAGCGCTTGTCTCGACGTCTCGTCCACCTCGTCGCGCCACTCTCTTTTGGGGCAACCCCAGACACAGCCTCCTCTGAAGATCCCCAGAATCCGTCCACAACCCGAAAATCGGCCTCCTCCTTTCAAAGAAGCCTGCGCGCGGGGCTGCCTCAAGGGAGCCTTCAAGTCCCTGAACAGCCTCATAGCTCACCCAAGTGCAAATGAAGTCAGCCCAGCTGAGGCCTTCTCGCAAGTTCTCGAGCTTTGTGCCGCGAAGGAGGCTGAGGCTCTTGCGGAGGGGCAACAGGTCCATGCCCATTTGGTCAAGTCCGGCTATTTCGGCTATCCGGTGTTTTTGAGTACTAAGCTCGTGTTTATGTATGGGAGGTGCGGCTCGTGCCGGAGTGCGGAGAAGTTGTTCGATAGAATGCGTGAACGAACGGTATATACCTGGAATGCCATGATTGGAGCTTATCTGGCTGATGAGGATCCTGCGGCTTCTCTTGAACTGTACAGAGATATGCGGGTTTCGGGTCTGCCTCTTGATTGCTGCACTTTTCCTTCTGTTCTGAAAGCTTGCGCGGTGCTTAGAGATCGTCGCTCTGGCGCCGAAATTCACGGCTTTGCTATTAAATGCGGGTTTGCTTCTGTTTTATTTGTTGTGAATTCGCTGGTCGCAATGTATGCGAAGTGCGATGATCTTGATGGGGCAAGGCAACTATTCGACAGCACTGATGTTAAAGAGGATCTTGCTCTGTGGAATTCTATAATCAGCGGATATTCAGCCAGTGGTAGGTCCCTTGAGGCATTGTTTCTTTTAAGAGAGCTGAAAGGTCATGGTCTTGTGATGAATACATACACCATGGTTGCAGCTTTGCAAGCCTGCCAAAATCTGGACTACCAAACGCTTGGCATGGAGATCCATGCTACCATCTTAAAATCTGGTAATGAGATCGATGTACATGTAGGCAATGCCTTGATTGCTATGTATGCAAGATGTGGTGAAATGAATGGAGGTGCTCGTGTATTCTTTAATTTAGTGGACAGAGATTCTGTATCTTGGAATTCAATGCTTTCTGGTTTTGTGCAGAATGGTCTGCACAGCGAGGCATTGCAGTTATTCCGTGATATGCAGGATTTTAATCAAGAACCGGACACTGTTTCTATCATGGGGATTCTTACGGCATCTGGTCGACTGGCAAATTTGTTACATGGAAGGGCAGGACATGGTTATGTCATACGGAGGGGTCTAGATTCCAATCTGCAGGTTGGGAATACACTTATGGACATGTATGCAAAGTGCTGTAGGGTACGGCTCATGGGCAAGGTTTTTTGTAGTATGCCTGTGAAGGACATAATCTCTTGGACAACAATTATTGCAGGCTACTCCCAGAATGATTGTCATATGGACGCTCTGAAGTGTTTCAGAGAAGTCCAGATGGAAGGGATGGATGTCGACAAAATGATGATAGGAAGCATTCTTCTTGCTTGTGGTGGGTCGAAATCTCTTCGCCATGTGAAAGAAATTCATAGTTTCATGCTAAGAAGAGGTCTATCTGATCTTGTTCTGCAGAATAGAATTGTTAATGCATATGGAGCATGTAACCACACAGATTATGCATCTCAAGCTTTTGAGCTCATTGAAAACAAGGATATTATATCTTGGACAAGCCTAATCTCTTGCTATGTCCATAATGGGCTAGCTCAGGAAGCTCTTCAAGTTTTTCTTGAAATGAAAGAAGCTGGAATTGAAGCTGATTATGTTACACTTGTGAGTGTACTCTCAGCAGCTGCTGATTTATCCCTCTTGCAGAAAGGAAAGGAAATTCACGGATCAATTATTAGGAGGGGCTTCATCTTGGAAGGGTCTGTTTCAACCTCTCTAGTAGATATGTATGCTCGCTGTGGGGACCTAAGAAATGCATGCAAGGTGTTTTCGTCTATTGACAGAAAAGATTTAAGCCTGTGGACCACAATGATATATGCAAACGGAATGCATGGGCGTGGAATGGTGGCCATTGAGTTATTCAAAAGGATGATTGACACTAACCTTGTTCCTGATCATATCACGTTTTTGGCCATTCTTTATTCATGTAGTCATTCTGGGTTGATTAATGAAGGGAAAACATTTTTTACATCTATGCAACATGATTATGAGTTGGAGCCATGGTCCGAGCACTATGCTTGTTTGGTCGACCTTCTTGGCCGTGCAAACAGCTTAGATGAAGCTTATGAATTTATCAACAGCATGCCGATTGAACCGACTGCTGAGGTTTGGTGTTCTCTACTTGGGGCTTGTCAAGTTCACTCAGATAAAAGACTGGGAGAGATTGCTGTGCATAAGCTTCTAGAATTAAATCCAGACAAACCTGGAAATTATGTTCTGATGTCCAATATCCTTGCTGCAAATGGTAGATGGAAAGATGTTAAAGAAATGAGAATGTGAATGAGAATGAAGGGAATTGGATTGAAGAAAACTCCAGGCTGCAGCTGGATTGAGCTTGGGAACAAGATCCATTCATTTGTAGCTGGGGACAAGTCTCATCCACAGTCGGATAAGATTTATTGGAAGCTAGCTGAAGTTACTGATAAATTAGCTCAAGAAGGTGCTTATGTGGCTCAAACCAGGTTTGTCTTGCATGATGTGGGAGAGGAAGAGAAACTTCAGATGCTTTATGGGCATAGTGAAAGGCTTGCCATTGCTTACAGTCTTCTAGAGAGTTCTGGAGAAACCCCTATCAGAGTCACTAAAAATCTTCGGGTTTGTGGTGATTGTCATACTTTCTGCAAGCTTGTTTCAAAATGCTTTGGACGAGAACTCATTGTGAGGGATGCTAGTAGATATCACCATTTTAATCATGGGGTCTGCTCTTGTGGAGACTTTTGGTAATACTGTGCAGAAACACATCTTGATTGCTTCTGATAATACCGATTCACAGAATACATCTCTAGCCCCGTTTCATGAGCAGGAGAAATTCTCTGATGGAAGCTCACCTCGGAAGAGTTTGAGCTCCAAGTGCTGAAGAAATCTCTTATTGCCTCCCAACCGTGCATTGTGGAAGTCAATGTTGAGGTCACTATCTCTGCATTTCAGCAGGATTTGAGAGGATCAGGGCATGAGGATGAAGGAGCTGTTCAAAGTTTAAGCGCTGAGTTCTTTTTCGGGCGAATGAAGCTTGGATGTAAATATTGCTGATCTGAGCTCCCAAAGAAACGGCATCATAAGGATTGATAAGTCCAGAATGTACTGATATCGGGTAAGCCGGCGAATGGCCATATTACTTTGTTATGGCAGAATAAGTACTTAAGATGGCCTAGATATTCAGGATACAGAATGTGGTTGCATTGGTAAAAAGTTGTAAAATAATACCTGTGCCTACGGAAGCAAACCAAAACATGCCATTTTGCAATGGATCACGAGCTACTCTAGGTGAACTTTGCAATAATCTGTATATTGTAGTTTCAGGGCCGAAGCAGTTTTCACATTCATAGGCCATTTGCATCTAAGTTGGATCGTTCAGTTGCAACTTTCTGGCAAAATATTAAATAAAAATAGGTATAAGTGTATTAGACGTCCTAAACCTTGTCACAAAATGCAATTGAGTTCTAAAACTTTGAAAAAGTGCAATTAAATCCTAAAACTTGTCACGAAAGTGCAATTGAGTTATAAAACTTTCAAAAATGCAATGAAGTCCTAAAATTTGTTAAATTGATTCTATTAAGTCTTTCCGTTGATTGCACTTTGAAAGGTTTAGGACTCGATTGCACTTTCGTGATAAGTTTTAAGACTTGATTGTACTTTTTGAAAGTTTTAACGCTTAATAACATTTTCGTGATAAGTTTTGGGACTTTTCGTACACTTATCCCATAAAAAAAAAAAACTTTCGGGCCAGCAGTGAGGTCCTCTGTTTCAGTTTTTGGTTTTTTGGTCGAACTCTGTTCCAGATTTAAGCCTTGAGTTTTTAGTCAGAATTTGACTTTAGTTTAGACTTCGGCCGAGTCCGTACTCTCTTGCAGCTGCCTCCTGATTTCTTAAAAGGGAATAGTTTTAGAAGCAAGCATGAGATGGGATCTTGAGATAGGCTCCGAACATGAAAAATTCTCTGTCACCTTTCAACGCAGCATTCCCACCGTTAGATTCCCGAATGAATAAACCAAAAGGATAATATAAAGAACAGATTCATTAAAGAATGAGGACATCTGAGGCTAGTATATGGAATTGATTTACAAAACAACTTGGGAAAACGGGTATTTAATAAGTGGGACATATTCACATACTCAACAAGTTGAATATGCCCACAAATAAAATAATATTATTTTATAAACAAAATTCACATATTAGTATGTCCGGAGCTATGATTAACAAATTATCAAGTGGTTTTGGAACTTGCTTTGTGAGCGAAAGGTCACAGGTCCGATTCCCTAAACTATCGGCAATCTCAGGAAACTTAGGCGAGTCTGCAAAGGACGGGCCTTGATTTAGGTGTATGACCGAGCTGCGGTGATAGAATTCACTTAGTGGGCATGTTTTGTCGGCACTTTAAATCGGATATTCCAACAGCGGGTGAGTAATGTTCCAATCTCGTCCAAACCATTTTTGGCTCGTTTTGGCTAGCAAAAGGAAAACAAAGAGAGAAAGAAAATGATCCAAACAGTAGTTTTCATAAGAAAGGATTGCCACGTACTTAAGAAAGTGGATGACGAATCCACAGCAACCTCTTATATTCAAAATGCACCAAGCATGTACAGTATCTTCCTTTCATCTTTCAGATTGTCTTTGTATCGACTCCGTTTTCACTCTAACGCAAAAGACAGAACCAAGCACAAAAATCAGAAAGTAAAAAATGTGTACCCAATTGGAAATACGTACCTTTTTCACTAAAAGAAAAACCTGAGTATGCATAGCATCCTCGCCACGAGAATGGACGCTATGGACATACTCATCGATGTTAGCCACGATCATCTTTATTTATGAGTTTTGGTTTTCCGCGCGAAACCATCAACAGTTGAAGCAACCAGCATGATCCAAACTCAGGTTAAACATCCTCCGAAATCGAGCGTGGATCATGCTGGCAGCTTTAACCGTGAGTGGTTCACGGCAAGCCAAATGGTGATATTGTGGCTAAAAACTCTGCGCTAGCTTGGAGAGGGGATGAACAAGAAGAGTGATAGGTGGACACCTATATAAAGAAAATACTGCGAGTGTATGCATGAGCATAGAAGAGCATATGATGATATAAATATATATTTTTCTTGGCAAGGATAAGGTTTTGGCGTGATTTTCGGTACATGTGCGAACTGAAAAGGGCTGTTTGATTACTTTAGGATCTGAAAAGAATTGGTTAACTATGGAGTGACTATGAAAAGGAGATCACAGATGTCGTTTTTAGTGGTCCATTGTGATGAGTTACAGGTCTGAGCATTTTATTCTTCATTTTGAAGTTTTCTCCTTCCCATCCAACCAACACCATGCAGATGGCCCTCCACTCTATAGTTGCTCAATCTCTCTCACCTGGGTGTGTTTACTGTTAAGTCTAGACGTCGATAACGTCCATGTTTATCACCCATCGAGTAGAGATCGGTTAATTCTGATCAGGGGTGGAGGAAAACACAGCCCATTGCTAAAACATAGAGTTATAGGATATTCCTTTTGCTTTGCTTGGGTGCGGAAAATTGTCTAATTTTACTATTTTTATCGGTTTTGAGTTGAAAACTTGATGAAAAAGAATTGCAACTTATGATAGGATTAGGGTTTTTTTTTTATAATTTTACTAATAAGACGAACATGTCGGCTGGTTTGTTTGTAACTTGTTTTATTTACATGGGACGGATCTATGATCCGAGTAATCTGTACAAATACACTTCGACTGCTCAGTCCATGTACGTGCGTTACGGCCAATGACCCCACCACTAGGGTTATGAGCGTAGCTCCCAGAGGCAATCTTAAAAGATAGAGGTTGTAAAGAGGCTCACTTCTCCATAAATGATTGTGGTAAGTCTCAAGTAACCCAATTACTGTTATTGTCTCAATACAAGAAAGACTGAGAATCTAACTTGAACACAACTCAAATTTACTGAGAGAAACCTGAACTTAGACATCACACAACATTACACGGTCTGCTCAAAATCTATACAACTTTTTATCCATTTTTATTAAAAATATTTATAATCAATTAAAAACATTTTGGTAATGATGAGAAATGACATGCATAATCAACAAAAATGTAACGATACGATGTGATTTGTTGCCTCTAACCTCGAAATTCTTGTTATTAAATGTAATCAACAAGCATCTTGAAGATACTCGTGAACCCAAACCTTTGTCCCCTTAATGCTAGGTTGGTTAGATTGTGTGTGATTCTTTATCTTCTGTCTTTTTTTATTGCTTTTGATTTGAGGGAATACCATTTGTCAGAAGCTTGCTAATTTGAATCTTGATGGGTGTCAGCAGCTGGTCAAAAGTTATGTAAAACAATGCAATAGACAATTAACAAGCAATCAGATTCATTCTGCTAAAGCGAAAAGCTGTTACATAAATATTACTTGATAAAGGATAAAGAAGACAAAGCAATATTCTGGGAAAAGTAGTTGGGATTTGGACAGGAACATGCCCTTTTGGATTGAAGCTGTGTTTTCATCTGGTTTGTTGGTTTAGGGGAATGGAACCCAATGCCGTGCATGCGGAATCACCCCCCCTCTCTAGAAAAAGCATCCTGATATTCCAAAAAAAGACAAGATTTTCACCAATTTGGCTTCAACTAGGTAGTTTTAAACGCTGTCAAACAATCTGCAACTTGGAGTAGATTAACATGCGACGGCTTTATCTTTTGGATACTCACAGCGACAGAATCTTTGCGTGCTCTGAAGCCAACGTTTGGTTTGCGGAATGGAATCATGCGGGAATGAAACGGTTGTTTTTAGGGGTGAGTATGGTTCCAGGTTCTGAGAACCATAGGTTCCAGATTCCAAAGTATGCAGGGTAGGTTCCAGATTTAAAAAATTGGGGAACTTATTTTGACGGGTAGGTTTCAGATTCTAGGTAGGTGAAACCTGAAACCTCAACAAGTTTTTTGTGTTTTTTCTTGATTTATATTTTCGCGTGATTCTGCTGTGTTTCATGGTGTTAGATGATGATAATATAATCTAGAACCACTATTATGAGCTTTCATTTTATAACCTGTTAATGTTTCATATTCTTTGTGTGTCTAAATATAAGTTGTGGCTAGTGGATTATAAAAGTAAGTGGTAGTCATTAAAGGTGATGATTTACTACAATTGTTCAATTAATAATACAGATGGAACCTGAATAAACTCTGAAACTGACCCTCGAACTTGTGATATGGTAGGTTCCAAGTTCCAAAAAATAAGGAACCTATTATCATACGGAACATGGAACTGCTCACCCCAAGTATCGATTCACGCAATGACTTCTCATTTTAGTTATATTTATTTGAACCGTAATGTCAGGAAAACTAGTCTTTTGTATTCTCTTTGATGAATGACAAGTTTGTTCAATATTGTTGCGTTCATTTTCGTTTTGATGAAATTAAAAAAGAAGAAGTGATAGACCCTGGAACCTGCGACAGGGTAGGTTTCAGGTTCCAAAAAATGAGGAACCTGTACCCGATGGTAGGTTCCAAGTTCCATGTGGAACCTGTAAGGAACCTGAAACCGCTCACCCCTAGTTATTTTGTGTGGGGGGAAGATGACATAAACAATACCTGAATGTAATTTATGAACTTTTAATTTGTTCAGTATGGTTCCTGAACTTTAGATTAATGTTCAATGTGGTCCCTGAACTTTTACTTTATTCAATATGATTCCCGGACATTTGGTACATGTTCAATGTAGTCCCTGAACTATATAAAAATGTTAAATGTTATCACATTGAACATTAATCTAAAGTTCATGAATTATATTGAATAAATTAAAAGTTTAGGGATCACATTACACATTGGGCCAAAGTTTAGAGACCATCTGTGTCATTATCCCTTTTGTAGGAATGCAATAGAGCAAGAATAGGAATGGAACGGTTTTCCTTGGCTGGGAATAATTATTCCTAGACTATGTCCTTTTTTTGATTTATTGGAATTGTATGGAAAATAAGTCGGGAATCCTAACAAATACTGTTATTCCATTCGATGAGATATTGTTACAGCGGAAAAGTACAAAAAAAGTTCTAAACGTATTGCATTGATGTCAATTTAGTCTTACACCATTCAATTGGATCAAATTTGTCCTAAACCTTTTCACATCGATACCAATTGAGTTCATTCGGCCAATTTAGGTCGGAAATTGCTGACTGGAAGCCGCGCGTCCTACATGGCACCACTAGTGTTGATGTAGACATTTTTAAATAATTTTTTAATAATTTCTTTGAATTTTTTCTTTCTTTTTCGTCCATGGCTTGAGCAAAGGTCACCCTAGCAGTGAGGCCGACCCTTGCTTGTGGCGGCGAGGGTGACCCTTATTCAGGCAAGGCCAGCCCTCACCTGCCATCGGTATAGGCCATCGAAGAAGAAAAAAGAAAAAAAATCAAAAAAATAAATAAAAATGTCCACGTTAAAGACAG